ATGATCCGAAGCACACCTCCAAGTCAACCAAAGTTTGGTTTAGAAAAAGATCCTGGACCGTCCTGTAATGGCCTTCTCAGTCACCAGATTTAAATCTGTTGCAGCACGGAAACTGAACATTTTCCTTTGTGTCATAGACACAATTATTTTTTGTTTTTGTGAAAAGAGAAAGAAAGAAAGAAGGAAAGAGAGGACAGAGAAAGTGAGAAAGGACAGAGAAAGTGGGAAAGGACAGAGAAAGAGAGAGAGGTATTTGGGGTTTGTCTTTTCACAAGAGCTCTGGGGGTCATCCTGCCAGTGACCGTTGCGCGCCGGTCAGGCATGGGAAGGCGTCGCCACAAGCCTGAAGCTCAGTGGCTCTACCGGGCTTCGAGGTCACCGTCATGTCCCCGAAACCCCCCCAGAGCTGAAGCTAAAGCCTGAGACAAGTCCTATCTATACTACTTTATGACAGCATAATGACATCACTGGTGACGCGGAGTAGTAGTGGGCGGAGCTTGGAGGCTGAGAGGTGACTTCATCCCTCAACTTACAGTCATTATTAACAATATAATAATAATTACAATAAATGTTAAAAGGATGTAAAGTGAATGTAAAGCACCTACATTTGTTATACAGCATCCCCAATATGTTGTATGTATCATCATTAGTGTGTTTTATAGTTCTATATTATACTTTGTGAAGTTAATACTGTTCTTTTTCTGTTATCTACATATATGTTTGTAGGTTATTGCCCTGAATTTATCTCTCCATAATGACAGAGAGCTATGCAGACAGACAGACAGACAGACAGACAGACAGACAGGGGGCCTGTAGCTGCAATCTTTGCCCCCCCGCACACGTGACAGCTGGAGCACTGAGTAGTTTGACTGGTTACAGACTTCAACAGCTCCTGCAGCAGTAACTCTAATCTGATGGTAAAGCAAAACTTTTCTGGAAGTCATACAGATGCAGTTGATCGTCAATATTATTATAATTATCAACATTATTTAAGATATCTTTTCTGTTCTGCAGTATTTTACATTAGTCTTAAGTTCTTCACGTTAACGGCTCTGAAATGCTGACTCACTAAACTAAGATTGGAATATTTTTACATTTAGTTTGTATATAGCCTCTTATTATCTTACTTATATCTCTACTGGCCCCCTTTTGTTCAATATGCAAGAGTAGTCTTACATGTCACTGTTAATGTTACAGACTTCAGTTTGATGAAGACTACAAACAGGTGTGTTTACCTGAGGAAACGGGAAATAGAAATGAAGCAGGCAGACGTGTGTCTCTTTCTTCAGCGTCTTCTCAAGTTATTTTATTAAACATTTGCCAACTGCAAACAGTCATTGTCTCTTGTACTTTGGTTCATTGTGTTCACAACATGTTTCTTTCATCCATGTATAAAACATGTAAAGGTTATTAAGGCTATTCAATAGTCAAAAATATCTAAACTCCATATGTGCCTTTATCAGACATCAAATCTCTAAAATGTATCTAAACTAACTTTACATCAGAAACAAGAGTATCCTCTGATTTCTGCTTCAACTCTGGAGAGTGCCACCTACAGAAGTTTTCAGATGACTCCTCCGTTGTCGGCTGTATCACAGATGATAGGGAGGAGGAGTACAGAGACCTGATCGAGAACTTCATGAGATGATGCGACAGAAACCACCTACAGCTCAACACAGGGAAAACCAAGGAGCTGGTGGTGGACTCCCGGCACAGCAAGAGGCCCCCCCTCCCCAGTTGCAAGGAGAAGGTAGAGATGGTGGACACTTGCAAGTTCCTGGAGGTGACACTCAGCAATAAAGTGGACTGGATGGACCACACTGAGACCCTCTATACAGGAAAGGACAGAGCAGGCTATTATTTCTGAGGAGGCTCAGGTCCTTCAACGTGTGCACTCGGCTACTACGGATGTTCCAGTCTGAAGTGGCCAGTGTCATCTTCTTTGCTGTGGTTTGTTGGGGAGGAGGCATCGGGACTCGTGGTGCCAACAAGCTGAGCAAGCTGGTGATGAAGACCAGCTCAGTGGTGGGGATGGAGCTGGACAGTGTGGAGGCTGTGACTGAGAAGAGTATGAAAGAGAAGCTGGAGGCCATCATGGACAACCCCTCTCATCCTCTCTACACTGAGCTCAGGAGCACTTTCAGCCACAGACTGATCCAGCCCCGAGCCTCAAACCTCGTTTGTACAATCTGCCATCAGACTCCACAATGTCACAGCACCCAGTACCTCCAACCCCCGCTGACTAAGACTGGTTTAAACTCCAACTATTTATATTCAACTTGCACATATTTAGTTTTTTAGTCAAAGCTGCTCAAATATGTGCACACCATATTATTGCATATTGCATATAGTGTATATACTGTTCATTTACTGTCTTTTATTTTCTATTATATTTTGTAATATTCTTATTCTGTGATATCTTATTGTACTTCCACTTCTGTACTCTTTGCACTACATTCCCCTGTACTGCTGTGTCTAATTTGAATTTCTCCTACAGGGGATCAATAAAGGTACATCTTATCTTATTATGTTTAACAATCATACATACTTTATAGGCTCCTTTTTAACATTTTTGTTATGTCAGTGTTTTCGTGTCCTTGACACTTGGCCATTGTTCTATTAAACAATTTACGTTACTTTACATTAACCTTTCTTCATAGAAGTGAACCAAATGCTGAGATACAGTCCTACTGTGTATATGTGTTATACACTGTAGGACTGTATCTTCCCCATGAGCGTTGAGGACCCCTAGTGGAGGCCCGACCCCCAGGTTGAGAACCACCAATGTAGTGCAGGATATACTCAGGTATACCCACTCATGTTTCAGTCAGTATCAACTTCAAAAAGTATAATATTGAACTATAAAACACACTAATGATGATACATACAATATATCTGGGATGCTGTATAATAAATGTGCTTTACATTCACTTTACATGCTTTTAACATTCAGGGAACTGCATGTTTTTGTCTTTGGAAGACCAGTTTTCTCCTGAAATCTTGGCTCATTAAACTGTCTGTTGCTTATGAGAGGAGCTGAGTGGCGTTAATGAAGCTTCCCTGAACTCCACCTGCTGCGGTCAACACTATTTCATCAATATTGATATTATAATATTATTATATTGTTAATATTGACTGTAAGTTGAGGGATGAAGTCACCTCTCAGCCTCCAAACTCCGCCCACTACTACTCTGTGTCACCAGTGATGTCATTATGCTGTCATAAAGTAGTATAGATAGGACTTTTCTCAGGCTTTAGCTTCAGCTCTGGGGGGGTTTCGGGGACACGACGGTGACCTCGAAGCCCGGTAGAGCCACTGAGCTTCAGGCTCGTGGCGACGCCTTCCCATGCCTGACCGGCGCGCAACGGTCACTGGCAGGATGACCCCCAGAGCTCTTGTGAAAAGACAAACCCCAAATACCTCTCTCTCTTTCTCTGTCCTTTCCCACTTTTTCTGTCCTTTCTCACTATCTCTATCCTCTCTTTCCTTCTTTCTTTCTTTCTCTTTTCACAAAAACAAAAAATAATTGTGTCTATGACACAAAGGAAAATGTTCAGTTTTCCTTTAAATCAATCAAATTGAATCTATATTTTAGATTCATTTTGTTTTGTTTTGCAGGTCTGGCCTGGGTTACAAAAATCCATGACCCACTTTGTTTTAAAGTAGACAGTTATCAGTTTATTACTCAATACTTTACCATTATTTTACTAATAATACATTATGATTAATGGTTTGATCAGTTCAAATGTCCATTAGAGCTCATTAAAGTGATTTATCAGGGTGGAAAAACAGCTCAAATAATGGTTACTGGATCATTTTTTATTAAATATGTGATAAATATTTTAAATTGAGTTTAAAGTTAAACAATAAATAAAAGTTTGAATCCTGATTTCAATTCCAGAATTTTAAATTAAAAATCAAACAGAGTTTAAATGTTTTATTTATTATTATTATTTGAATTCTAGTTTTTATTATTTGTTTTATTCTTTTTTATTCCACTGTAGTTTATGTTTTCTCTATATTTGTATTTGCATCTCATTATTTATGTTGTTAAATCCAACTTAAATGTGTTTTCTTTTATATCTTAATGGCATTTTAAGTCGTACAGTGCATCTGGAAAATATTCACATTAAATTCATGTTTTTCCTCAAAACTCTACACACAATAATCCATAATGACAACATAAAAAAAATTGTTTTTGCTTATTTATTCAAAATAAAGAAAACAAATATAACATGTACGTAAGTATTCGTAGCCTTTGCTCAGTACTTTGTTGAAGCACCTTTGGCAGCAATTACAGCCTCAAGTCTTTTTGAGTATGAAGCTACAAGCTTGGCAGACGGATTATTGGACAGTTTCTCCCATTCTTCTTTGTAGGACCTGGTTTCCTCCAGACATGATGTTTGGCATTCAGGTCAAAGAGTTCAATCTTTGTTTCATCAGAGCAGAGAATTTTGATTCTCATGGTCTGAGAGTCCTTCAGGTGCCTTTTGGCACTTGGGGCAGTTGTTCTTTATCGTGTACCTGGCTTCATGGATTCCCACAAATATCAGGCCATTTTAAAGAGGAACAGGATGCCTTCTGTTGACAAATTAAACCTTGGTGATCATTGGACAGCAAGACAATGATCCGAAGCACACCTCCAAGTCAACCAAAGTTTGGTTTAGAAAAAGATCCTGGACCGTCCTGTAGTGGCCTTCTCAGTCACCAGATTTAAATCTGTTGCAGCACGGAAACTGAACATTTTCCTTTGTGTCATAGACACAATTATTTTTTGTTTTTGTGAAAAGAGAAAGAAAGAAAGAAGGAAAGAGAGGACAGAGAAAGTGAGAAAGGACAGAGAAAGTGGGAAAGGACAGAGAAAGAGAGAGAGGTATTTGGGGTTTGTCTTTTCACAAGAGCTCTGGGGGTCATCCTGCCAGTGACCGTTGCGCGCCCGGTCAGGCATGGGAAGGCGTCGCCACAAGCCTGAAGCTCAGTGGCTCTACCGTGCTTCGAGGTCACCGTCGTGTCCCCGAAACCCCCCCAGAGCTGAAGCTAAAGCCTGAGACAAGTCCTATCTATACTACTTTATGACAGCATAATGACATCACTGGTGACACGGAGTAGTAGTGGGCGGAGTTTGGAGGCTGAGAGGTGACTTCATCCCTCAACTTACAGTCATTATTAACAATATAATAATAATTACATTAAATGTTAAAAGGATGTAAAGTGAATGTAAAGCACTCACATTTGTTATACAGCATCCCCAATATTTTGTATGTATCATCATTAGTGTGTTTTATAGTTCTATATTATACTTTGTGAAGTTAATACTGTTCTTTTTCTGTTATCTACATATATGTTTGTAGGTTATTGCCCTGAATTTATTTCTCCATGATGCGGACAGCTATGCAGACAGACAGACAGACATACAGACAGACAGACAGACAGACAGACAGACAGGGGGCCTGTAGCTGCTATCTCCGCCCCCCGCACACGTGACAGCTGGAGCACTGAGTAGTTTGACTGGTTACAGACTTCAACAGCTCCTGCAGCGGTAACTCTAATCTGATGGTAAAGCAAAACTTTTCTGGAAGTCATACAGATGCAGTTGATCGTCAATATTATTATAATTATCAACATTATTTAAGATATCTTTTCTGTTCTGCAGTATTTTACATTAGTCTTAAGTTCTCCACGTTAACGGCTGGCTCTGAAATGCTGCCTCACTAAACTAAGATTGGATTATTTTTACATTTAGTATGTATATAGGCTCTTATTATCTTACTTATATCTCTACGGGCCCCCTTTTGTTCAATATGCAGGAGTAGTCTTACATGTCACTGTTAATGTTACAGACCTCAGTTTGATGAAGACTACAAACAGGTGTGTTTACCTGAGGAAACGGGAAAAAGAAATGAAGCAGGCAGACGTGTGTCTCTTTCTTCAGCGTCTTCTCAAGTTATTTTATTAAAGATTTACCAACTGCAAACAGTCATTGTCTCTTGTACTTTGGTTCATTGTGTTCACAACATGTTTCTTTCATCCATGTATAGCACATGTAAAGGTTATTAAGGCTATTCAATAGTCAAATATATCTAAACACCATGTATGCCTTTATCAGACATAAAATTTCTAAAATGTATCAAACTTTACATCAGAAACAAGAGTATCCTCTGATTTCTGCTTCAACTCAGGAGCGTGCCACCTACAGAAGTTCTCAGATGACTCCTCCGTTGTCGGCTGTATCACAGATGATAGGGAGGAGGAGTACAGAGACCTGATCGAGAACTTCATGAGATGGTGCGACAGAAACCACCTACAGCTCAACACAGGGAAAACCAAGGAGCTGGTGGTGGACTCCCAGCGCAGCTCCCCAGTTGCGAGGAGAAGGTAGAGATGGTGGACACTTACAAGTTCCTGGAGGTGACACTCAGCAATAAAGTGGACTGGACGGACCACACTGAGACCCTCTGTACAGGAAAGGACAGAGCAGGCTATTATTTCTGAGGAGGCTCAAGTCCTTCAACGTGTGCACTCAGCTACTACGGATGTTCCAGTCTGTAGTGGCCAGTGTCATCTTCTTTGCTGTGGTGTGTTGGGGAGGAGGCATTGGGACTCATGGTGCCAACAAGCTGAGCAAGCTGGTGAGGAAGACCAGCTCAGTGGTGGGGATGGAGCTGGACAGTGTGGAGGCTGTGACTGAGAAGAGTATGAAAGAGAAACTGAAGGCCATCATGGACAACCCCTCTCATCCTCTCTACACTGAGCTCGGGAGCACTTTCAGCCACAGACTGATCCAGCCCCGAGCCTCAAACCTTGTTTGTACAATCTGACATCAGACTCCACAATGCCACAGCACCCAGTACCTCCAACCCCCGCTGACTAAGACTGGTTTAAACTCCAACTATTTATATTTAACTTGCACATATTTAGCTTTTTAGTCAAAGCTGCTCAAATATGTACACACCATATTATTGCATATTGCATATAGTGTATATACTGTTCATTTACTGTCTTATATTTTCTATTATATTTTGTAATATTCTTATTCTGTGATATCTTAATGTACTTCCACTTCTGTACTCTTTCCACTACATTCCCCTGTGCTGCTGTGTCTAATTTCAATTTCTCCTACAGGAGATGAATAAAGGTACATCTTATCTTATTATGTTTAACAATCATACATACTTTATAGGCTCCTTTTTCACATTTTTGTTATGTCAGTGTTTTCTTGTCCTTGACACTTGGCCATTGTTATATTAGACAATTTACGTTACTTTACATTAACCTTTCTTCACAGAAGTGAACCAAATGCTGAGATACAGTCCTACTGTGTATATGTGTTATACACTGTAGGACTGTATCTTCCCCATGAGCGTTGAGGACCCCTAGTGGAGGCCCGACCCCCAGGTTGAGAACCACCAATGTAGTGCAGGATATACTCAGGTATACCCACTCATGTTTCAGTCAGTATCAACTTCAAAAAGTATAATATAGAACTATAAAACACACTAATGATGATACATACAACATGTTGGGGATGCTGTATAATAAATGTGCTTTACATTCACTTTACATGCTTTTAACATTCAGGGAACTGCATGTTTTTGTCTTTGGAAGACCAGTTTTCTCCTGAAATCTTGGCACATTAAACTGTCTGTTGCTTATGAGAGGAGCTGAGTGGCGTTAATGAAGCTTCCCTGAACTCCACCTGCTGCTGTCAACACTATTTGATCAATATTGTTGTTGTTATTATTATTATATTATTGTATATTGTTAATATTGACTGTAAGTTGAGGGATGAAGTCACCTCTCAGCCTCCAAACTCCGCCCACTACTATCCTGTGTCACCAGTGATGTCATTACGCTGTCATAAAGTAGTATAGATAGGACTTGTCTCAGGCTTTAGCTTCAGCTCTGGGGGGGTTTCGGGGACACGACGGTGACCTCGAAGCCCGGTAGAGCCACTGAGCTTCAGGCTCGTGGCGACGCCTTCCCATGCCTGACCGGCGCGCAACGGTCACTGGCAGGATGACCCCCAGAGCTCTTGTGAAAAGACAAACCCCAAATACCTCTCTCTCTTTCTCTGTCCTTTCCCACTTTCTCTGTCCTTTCTTACTATCTCTATCCTCTCTTTCCTTCTTTCTTTCTTTCTCTTTTCACAAAAACAAAAAATAATTGTGTCTATGACACAAAGGAAAATGTTCAGTTTTCCTTTAAATCAATCAAATTGAATCTGTATTTTAGATTCATTTTGTTTTGTTTTGCAGGTCTGGCCTGGGTTACAATAAATCCATGACCCACTTTGTTTTAAAGTAGACAGTTATCAGTTTATTACTCAATACTTTACCATTATTTTACCAATAATACATTATGATTAATGGTTTGATCAGTTCAAATGTCCATTAGAGCTCATTAAAGTGATTTATCAGGGTGGAAAAACAGCTCAAATAATGGTTACTGGACCATTTTTCTTAAATATGTGATAAATATTTTAAATTGAGTTTAAAGTTAAACAATAAAATAAAAGTTTGAATCCTGATTTCAATTTCAGAATCTTAAATTCAAAATCAAACAGAGTTTAAACGTTTTATTTATTATTATTATTTGAATTCTCTTTATTATTATTTGTTTTTATGCTGTTTTACTCCACTGTAGTTTATATTTCCTCTATATTTGTATTTGTATCTCATTATTTATGTTGTTAAATCCAACTTAAATGTGTTTTCTTTTATATCTTAATGGCATTTTAAGTCGTACAGTGCATCTGTAAAATAATCACATTAAATTAATGTTTTTCCTCAAAACTCTACACACAATAATCCATAATGACAACATGAAAAAAGTTGTTTTTGCTTATTTATTCAAAATAAAGAAAACAAATATATCATGTACGTAAGTATTCGTAGCCTTTGCTCAGTAATTTGTTGAAGCACCTTTGGCAGCAATTACAGCCTCAAGTCTTTTTGAGTATGAAGCTATTGTCAGATGGATTATTGGACAGTTTCTTCTTCGTAGGACCTGGTTTCCTCCAGACATGATGTTTGGCATTCAGGTCAAAGAGTTCAATCTTTGTTTCATCAGAGCAGAGAATTTTGATTCTCATGGTCTGAGAGTCCTTCAGGTGCCTTCTGGCACTTGGGGCTGTTGTTCTTTATCGTGTACCTGGCTTCATGGATTCCCACAAATATCAGGCCATTTTAAAGAGGAACGTGATTCCTTCTGTTGACAAATTACACCTTGGTGATCATTGGACAGCAAGACAATGATCCAAAGCACACCTCCAAGTCAACCAAAGTTTGGTTTAGAAAAAGATCCTGGACAGCCTGTAGTGGCCTTCTCAGTCACCAGATTTAAATCTGTTGCAGCACGGAAACTGAACATTTTCCTTTGTGTCATAGACACAATTATTTTTTGTTTTTGTGAAAAGAGAAAGAAAGAAAGAAGGAAAGAGAGGACAGAGAAAGTGGGAAAGGATAGAGAAAGTGGGAAAGGACAGAGAAAGAGAGAGAGGTATTTGGGGTTTGTCTTTTCACAAGAGCTCTGGGGGTCATCCTGCCAGTGACCGTTGCGCGCCGGTCAGGCATGGGAAGGCGTCGCCACGAGCCTGAAGCTCAGTGGCTCTACCGGGCTTCGAGGTCACCGTCGTGTCCCCGAAACCCCCCCAGAGCTGAAGCTAAAGCCTGAGACAAGTCCTATCTATACTACTTTATGACAGCATAATGACATCACTGGTGACACGGAGTAGTAGTGGGCGGAGTTTGGAGGCTGAGAGGTGACTTCATCCCTCAACTTACAGTCATTATTAACAATATAATAATAATTACATTAAATGTTAAAAGGATGTAAAGTGAATGTAAAGCACCTACATTTGTTATACAGCATCCCCAATATGTTGTATTTATCATCATTAGTGTGTTTTATAGTTCTATATTATACTTTGTGAAGTTAATACTGTTCTTTTTCTGTTATCTACATATATGTTTGTAGGTTATTGCCCTGACAGACAGCTATGCAGACAGACAGACAGACAGGGGGCCTGTAGCTGCTATCTCCGCCCCCTGCACACGTGACAGCTGGAGCACTAAGTAGTTTGACTGGTTACAGACTTCAACAGCTCCTGCAGCTGTAACTCTAATCTGATGGTAAAGCAAAACTTTTCTGGAAGTCATACAGATGCAGGTGATCGTCAATATTATTATAATTATCAACATTATTTAAGATATCTTTTCTGTTCTGCAGTATTTTACATTAGTCTTAAGTTCTCCACGTTAACGGCTGGCTCTGAAATGCTGCCTCACTAAACTAAGATTGGAATATTTTTACATTTAGTTTGTATATAGCCTCTTATTATCTTACTTATATCTCTACTGGCCCCCTTTTGTTCAATATGCAAGAGTAGTCTTACATGTCACTGTTAATGTTACAGAACTCAGTTTGATGAAGACTACAAACAGGTGTGCTTATCTGAGGAAACGGGAAATAGAAATGAAGCAGGCAGACTTGTGTCTCTTTCTTCAGCGTCTTCTCAAGTTATTTTAGTAAACATTTACCAACTGCAAACAGTCATTGTCTCTTGTACTTTGGTTCATTGTGTTCACAACATGTTTCTTTCACCCATGTTTAAAACATGTAAAGGTTATTAAGGCTATTCAATAGTCAAATATATCTAAACACCATGTATGCCTTTATCAGACATCAAATTTTCTAAAATGTATCTAAACTAACTTTACATCAGAAACAGCAGTATCCTCTGATTTCTGCTTCAACTCTGGAGAGTGCCACCTACAGAAGTTCTCAGATGACTCCTCCGTTGTCGGCTGTATCACAGATGATAGGGAGGAGGAGTACAGAGACCTGATCGAGAACTTCATGAGATGGTGCGACAGAAACCACCTACAGCTCAACACAGGGAAAACCAAGGAGCTGGCGGTGGACTCCCGGCACAGCAAGAGGTCCCCCCTCCCCAGTTGCGAGGAGAAGGTAGAGATGGTGGACACTTACAAGTTCCTGGAGGTGACACTCAGCAATAAAGTGGACTGGACGGACCACACTGAGACCCTCTGTACAGGAAAGGACAAAGCAGGCTATTTTTTCTGAGGAGGGTCAGGTCCTTCAACGTGTGCACTCGGCTACTACGGATGTTCCAGTCTGTAGTGGCTAGTGTCATCTTCTTTGCTGTGGTGTGTTGGGGAGGAGGCATCGGGACTCGTGGTGCCAACAAGCTGAGCAAGCTGGTGATGAAGACCAGCTCAGTGGTGGGGATGGAACTGGACAGTGTGGAGGCTGTGACTGAGAAGAGGATGAAAGAGAAGCTGAAAGCCATCATGGACAACCCCTCTCATCCTCTCTACACTGAGCTCAGGAGCACTTTCAGCCACAGACTGATCCAGCCCCGAGTCTCAAACCTTGTTTGTACAATCTGCCATCAGACTCCATAATGCCACAGCACGCAGTACCTCCAACCCCCGCTGACTAAGACTGGTTTAAACTCCAACTATTTATATTTAAGTTGCACATATTTAGTTTTTTCGCCAAAGCTGCTCAAATATGTACACACCATATTATTGCATATTGCATATAGTGTATATACTGTTCATTTACTGTCTTATATTTTCTATTATATTTTGTAATATTCTTATATTGTGATATCTTATTGTACTTCCACTTCTGTACTCTTTGCACTACATTCCCCTGTACTGCTGTGTCTAATTTGAATTTCTCCTACAGGGGATCAATAAAGGTACATCTTATCTTATTATGTTTAACAATCATACATACTTTATGGGATCCTTTTTCACATTTTTGTTATGTCAGTGTTTTCGTGTCCTTGACACTTGGCCATTGTTCTATTAGACAATTTACGTTACTTTACATTAACCTCTCTTCACAGAAGTGAACCAAATGCTAGGATAAAGTCCTACTGTGTATATGTGTTATACACTGTAGGACTGTATCTTCCCCATGAGCGTTGAGGACCCCTAGTGGAGGCCCGACCCCCAGGTTGAGAACCACCAATGTAGTGCAGGATATACTCAGGTATACCCACTTATTTTTCAGTCAGTATCAACTTCAAAAAGTATAATATAGAACTATAAAACACACTAATGATGATACATACAACATTTTTGGGATGCTGTATAATAAATGTATTTCACATTCACTTTACATGCTTTTAAAATTCAGGGAACTGCATGTTTTTGTCTTTGGAAGACCAGTTTTCTCCAGAAATCTTGGCTCATTAAACTGTCTGTTGCTTATGAGAGGAGCTGAGTGGTGTTAATGAAGCTTCCCTGAACTCCACCTGCTGCTGTCAACACTATTTGATCAATATTGTTGTTGTTATTATTATTATAATTATTGTTATATTGTTAATATTGACTGTAAGTTGATGGATGAAGTCACCTCTCAGCCTCCAAACTCCGCCCACTAGTACCCTGTGTCACCAGTGATGTCATTATGCTGTCATAAAGTAGTATAGATAGGACTTGTCTCAGGCTTTAGCTCCAGCTCTGGGGGGTTTCGGGGACACGACGGTGACCTCGAAGCCCGGTAGAGCCACTGAGCTTCAGGCTCGTGGCGACGCCTTCCCATGCCTGACCGGCGCGCAACGGTCACTGGCAGGATGACCCCCAGAGCTCTTGTGAAAAGACAAACCCCAAATACCTCTCTCTCTCTCTTTTTCTGTCCTTCCCCACTTTTTCTGTCCTTTCTCACTATCTCTATCCTCTCTTTCCTTCTTTCTTTCTTTCTCTTTTCACAAAAACAAAAAATAATTGTGTCTATGACACAAAGGAAAATGTTCAGTTTTCCTTTAAATCAATCAAATTGAATCTATATTTTAGATTCATTTTGTTTTGTTTTGCAGGTCTGGCCTGGGTTACAATAAATCCATGACCCACTTTGTTTTAAAGTAGACAGTTATCAGTTTATTACTCAATACTTTACCTTTATTTTACCAATAATACATTATGATTAATGGTTTGATCAGTTCAAATGTCCATTAGAGTTCATTAAAGTGATTTATCAGGGTGGAAAAACAGCTCAAATAATGGTTACTGGACCATTTTTATTAAATATGTGATAAATATTTTAAATTGAGTTTAAAGTTAAACAATAAAATAAAAGTTTGAATCCTGATTTCAATTCCAGAATTTTAAATTCAAAATCAAACAGAGTTTAAATGTTTTATTTATTATTATTATTTTAATTCTCTTTATTATTATTTGGTTTTATTCTGTTTTATTCCACTGTAGTTTATGTTTTCTCTATATTTGTATTTGCATCTTATTATTTATGTTGTTAAATCCAACTTAAATGTGTTTTCTTTTATATCTTAATGGCATTTTAAGTCGTACAGTGCATCTGGAAAATAATCACATTAAATTCATGTTTTTCCTCAAAACTCTACACACAATAATCCATAATGACAACATGAAAAAAGTTGTTTTTGCTTATTTATTCAAAATAAAGAAAACAAATACAACATGTACGTAAGTATTCACAGTCTTTGCTCAGTACTTTGTTGAAGCACCTTTGGCAGCAATTACAGCCTCAAGTCTTTTTTGAGTATGAAGCTACAAGCTTGGCAGACAGATTATTGGACAGTTTCTCCCATTCTTCTGTAGGACCTGGTTTTCTCCAGACATGATGTTTGGCATTCAGGCAAAAGAGTTCAATCTTTGTTTCATCAGAGCAGAGAATTTTGATTCTCATGGTCTGAGAGTCCTTCAGGTGCCTTTTGGCACTTGGGGCAGTTGTTCTTTATCGTGTACCTGGCTTCATGGATTCCCACAAATATCAGGGCCATTTTAAAGAGGAACGTGATGCCTTCTGTTGACAAATTAAACCTTGGTGATCATTGGACAGCAAGACAATGATCCGAAGCACACCTCCAAGTCAACCAAAGTTTGGTTTAGAAAAAGATCCTGGACGGTCCTGTAGTGGCCTTCTCAGTCACCAGATTTAAATCTGTTGCAGCACGGAAACTGAACATTTTCATTTGTGTCATAGACACAATTATTTTTTGTTTTTGTGAAAAGAGAAAGAAAGAAAGAAGGAAAGAGAGGATAGAGATAGTGAGAAAGGACAGAAAAAGTGGGAAAGGACAGAGAAAGAGAGAGAGGTATTTGGGGTTTGTCTTTTCACAAGGAGCTCTGGGGGTCATCCTGCCAGTGACCGTTGCGCACCGGTCAGGCATGGGAAGGCGTCGCCACGAGCCTGAAGCTCAGTGGCTCTACCGGGCTTCGAGGTCACCGTCGTGTCCCCGAAACCCCCCCAGAGCTGAAGCTAAAGCCTGAGAAAAGTCCTATCTATACTACTGTATGACAGCATAATGACATCACTGGTGACACGGAGTAGTAGTGGGCGGAGTTTGGAGGCTGAGAGGTGACTTCATCCCTCAACTTACAGTCATTATTAACAATATAATAATAATTACATTAAATGTTAAAAGCATGTAAAGTGAATGTAAAGCACCTACATTTGTTATACAGCATCCCCAATATGTTGTATGTATCATTATTAGTGTGTTTTATAGTTCTATATTATACTTTGTGAAGTTAATACTTTTCATTTATGTATGTAGGTTATTGCCCTGAATTTATCCCTCCATGATGACAGACGGACGGACGGACGGACGGACGGACATCTCTGCCCCCCCCCCTTTTCTGGAAGTCATACAGAGGCAGTTGATCAGAATTTTCCAGTTGCAACACACTAAAAGACATGCATAGCACAATTATTTAAACTGACACACAGAGAGCAAAACCTCCTTTCAAGTCTCCAAAATCTAAACACATTTTCGCTTTACACACATTTTGCAATTCAAAATGGCACTTTTTAAATGCACGAACACGGATCTCTGCATAGGACAAACAATCGACAAAAGTCACATGTTTGCCATTTCAAAACACTGCCATTAAAAGACATTACATGAGCTAATTGGCCAATATATGAGCCACCGGCCAAACACCTCAATGGTTCATTGTTACCACTCAATCAGGAAATAAGCACTATAAAAAGACCACAAGTGAGCACCTATATTAATATATTTTTTTTTCTTGCACATTTTTTCTGCAATTTTCAGTTTACTGTTTTTTGTGAGCATATTTTTGTTCACTCCAATGTAGATATATCTGCTGTGCATATGTTGCACTGACTTGTTTGTTGAAAAATAAAAATATAAATGTTTCAACAGCAAATGTGTGTGTGTGTGTGTGTGTGTGTGTGTGTGTGTGTGTGTGTGTGTGTGTGTGTGTGTGTGTCTGCAAATATTTCAGTGCACGTGAACAATCTGAAGAATTTCTTCTACAATTTGAACTACTTAAGTATTATGGCAAAGCATACTAAAGATGAGAGTGCTTTTCATTATGCCCAACAGTGTGTAGTTGGTTAGACAAAAATCTGGTAATATGAATGAAGTGTGTTTCATTTGGTGCAAAAGTTTGATTTTGATAATGCTGTATGTAGTTTTGGTTGCAGTGCTTCATTTTGCAGGATATATGAGGTATTTTGCAGTTTGGGTGTGTGGTTTTGTAAATTGTGTTAAGTATTTTGATAAAACCAGCCTAGTTTGCAAAATTGTGTTTTAGCAATTGGAAAAAACTGTACTATGATGAACTGAGAACCACAGGGCTGCACTGCCACCTAGTGTCTATAGGTGAACACACACTTCCCAGGAAGTTCTGTAGATCCTTCTGCTTTCCTACTGTTTTAAATAAGACAGTACATTTTAAAGTTCAGAAATTAATAATCAAAAACACCAATAAAAAAATGTGACCATACATTTTGTGTGCGTCACACAATGATTTTTATGCCACCATTAGATATTTCTACGCTTTATTAATGTGCCACAATAATGTGTGGGATTAAATACATTTAAATATCAGGTATTTCAGGTATACACACATATTTTACAGTCAGTATTAACTTCAAAAAGTATAATATAGAACTATAAAACACACTAATGATGATACATACAACATATTGGGGATGCTGTATAATAAATGTGCTTTACATTCACTTTACATGCTTTTAACATTCAGGGAACTGCATGTTTTTGTCTTTGGAAGACCAGTTTTCTCCTGAAGTCTTGGCTCATTAAACTGTCTGATATCTGTCAGAGCAATATGACATACAGTCCTAGTAATTATTTTTATTAAGATTATTATTTGGGGTTTAAACTCTTTATTTTTCTTTTTTTTTAGATTTATATTCTATTCAGCATTACATGTTTTTATTCAGTTTTATTCCACTCTAGCTTATATTTCCTCTATATTTATATTTGCATCTTGTTTTTATGATAAATCCAACTTAAATGCTCTTTCTTTCACATCTCAATAGCATTTTTAAACTCGTACAACCACTCTGAATTGCCTCATTATCGTTCAGTCATTCTTCATTTACAACAGTATAATTACAAAGAGCCATCAGGATGGACGTGACCTCGACGGTAGCAGCACTTCCTGCACAGACAGCCCTGCATGCGGGTTAATACGGCTCCTCTCTCTCTCTCCCTCTCCCTCCCTCCCTCCCTCCCTCCCTCCATCCATCCGTCCATCCATCAGTTGTATGTCTCGTTAGCCCAGCAGCTAACAGCTCACCAGGCCTCAGTGGCCGGCCGGCGCATCCTCAGCTTCCAGCCATGGCGTTGGTTACTCTGCAGCGGTCCCCGACCCCGAGCGCCGCGTCCACCGCCAGCACAGCAACCACGACCGCGGGGGAGGTCAGTGTGTGTCCCCGGGGGGGGGGGGGGTTTGGATTGTGAAACAGAACCGGGTGGGAGCGGGGTTTGGATTGAAAAGGGCTGAGGATGTGGGAGATGTTGCCGGAGAAAGGCCCGCTGATTGCAGCTAAATTAGCACCGTTAGCTTAGCTTCTGTTAAACGACTGATAACCAGATATATCCCACACACACACACACACACACACACACACACACACACACCAATACGACTTTTTTAAATGTAATAATAAATAATCTGTTAAATGTGATGTTCGTATTTTTAAAGAGTTAGCGTTGTGACAAGTGCCTTATATGAATGATATAAGCTGCAGCTAACGTTAGCAGTTTATAATGAGACTGGCTGACATTGAAAGTAACGTATTTATTTTAACATTGGAAACATGTTAAAGGGCAGAAACCATCAGCACAACGATACCAGCACACAGACGAAGCTGCAGCAGCCGACAAAGCACTGATATCTCATTGATTTAGTGTTATTAAATATGAGATATTGATCTGTTAGTCTGGTGGTTCTGTTATTCTCTTTAACAGGTAATACATCAGTCAACTACACATTATGTTTCTGTGTCAGTTTCCAGTGTGCTGCCTTGTTGGTTCTTCCAGTAAATACAGGGAAGTATGAGATTTACAGCCTGGTAAAGACACAAATGGGGAAACTGAACTTTAAGGGTTTGCTTATACTTGTCTGTAGCAGCAGAGAGTCACACTTTGAGCTTTTTTCTTGTTATTTTTTGGGGCATTCTCTGCAAGAAAATGTGTTTTTCTTGGCCACAAAACTCCCAATTTTTAAAAGATAACTTCCAAGTAGAAATATCTTCACTGCCAGAGGAGGGCGCTAACTACCAGCTGTAGTTCTGCACTGTATGACCACATCAGAGGGGAACAGACTTGACAGCTCTTAGCTGGGTTTACACTTTAAATGTCATACACGCCACCTATTGCAGGTAGACTGAGCCTTTTAAAGGACTCTGCTCTGTTGGTTTGACCGGGTCTCGTTTTGTCCCTGTGCCTCAGTGTCTCACCGGAGCCGTTGGCGTAGTCCACCAGCGTGCTGAGGTGTGACAGATAAAGCTCGCAGGAAGCTGCTGCAGCTATGATGTCATCTGCTCATGAGGGGTGGGTGGGGTTGGTGGAGTACTAGGAGAGGGAGGAAGAGGGGGGTAAACAGATGATGCTCGCAAGAGGCGGTTAATGTGGGAGATTATTGTACCTATTATACGACAGTGTTATGCGCTCCTCTCGTGGAATGATTTTCTTGTATCCAGTTCTGTATGTCATTGTATTCCTCTTTTAGTTCCAGCTGAATATTGTAGACCTTGCTGCAGTCGTACATTGGTGGCTATAAAATGTTCCCGCGAGTGGAAAAAGGTGGATTAGAGCCTTTAACTTCTCTGTGGCTTGTGTCGAAGGCCAGATCTAGCATTGTCTTTATTAGGGATGCACAATTAATCAGAATATTATCCAAATTTCAGAAGCTGCAGTTTTAGGATAAAGGCAACGTGTGTGATAAAACAGCATTATAATAACATACTGTAGTTCAGAAGAGTTTAAGAGAACGTGTTTGTTTGGTACAGACCCTCAAAAATGTTCACATCATCATGATTTTAATATGTGTTTCAGTAAAGAAAGCACTAATCATGAATCATATCGCAGTATCTATTAAAATAGTCGCAGTATGACGTTTTTACCCGACCTGCAACCCTAGTTTTTATATGTGTGAACATGTATTAATCGAGTCATAACTGTGGTTTTTTATGTCTACTTTTGGTGAAATACACTAAATCTATCACATAAACTGTCCCTTTTTGTGGTTTTAAGTATTTGGTATTTGCTTAGTGCAGTGTTTACTGGCAGGTCAGCTGAACTATTATCACACTTCCTTGTTCTTCAGCCCACATTGTACAGTTCCCATGTAACTGCTTGTCAGACCTTCCTCTATGCTACCGTACTGGTTTAATACGCTTACGCCTAATGTTGACGAACTTTCAAGTCACGTCTGCTCCCTCCGCGTCTTGCAAGCTCGTCCAGGTGGTGTGGTTGCTATTAAATGCTTATAAGACACACCTGCGTTTGCCGTGACTTCACTGTTATTTGCCCGCAGCACCGTATTTTAAAGCAGTTTGAGAGCAAAATGGGCCTAAATGATTGATGCTAAAGTCAAACTATACTGTTCTGTGCCTAAAATCCCTTTCTGGTGAAACATTCGTGAGCCAATTTTCACTTCTTGTGGAATAAGTGAACACAAGGTTTTATATCGCTGGTATAACACAGTTCTCACAGATTATTTAATAACGAGCTGTGTATACTGTGTACTTTAAAGGAATGCCTACATTTGGCTTCTTTTCTTTTGAATGTTGTGGGTTAGCTTGTCTCAAAGCTTATGATTGGTAAAATACAAGCCTGTATACAGACTTGCGATGTTTGTTAATAATGCCAAAATCGGATTGATGTGGTATTAATTTTTCCTCCTTATCTGTATTGCAGGATTTTGGGAGTGAAGATGAACGGCGAATAAATCAGAGGTAAGTTTACTCTTAAGTTTAAAGTTTAGCAACCTCTGTTGCGTGCTACATGGCAAAGCAAGTCAGATTTTTTATACACAGTTGTTGTTGACTGATTGGCTGCATCTGTCTTTGAGTCATTTAGTGAAATCTGGAGTGGCGGCAGACTAGCTGGCATCAACACACAAGGACAACTAAGCGTCAGTGTTATAAAACACCTGCTGTCTGTCTCTCTTGTTGGCCGAGTCATCAGATCCTAACTGTAAAACCATGTTATTTTCAGTAGTCTTGTCAAGTAATATGCCGACGGGTGTGTCGGCATTTTTATCGGCACTTTGATCGATGAAACGTGTTTGAATCAGTTGAGTCACTTTTCCACAGAATGCATGTATGGCGTTGGATCGGCAGAAAGCTGATTGTAATAATAATGATAATAATAATCTTGGTACTTGATTGTTAAAGTCATTTACTGAGTTTAAAACTTTGGCTTCAAATTGGAAATGTACAGTTTTCTCTACTCCGTGTCCCCCACTCAGATTCACACACTGACTACGTTGTCTCCCAACAAAAGGTGGGAGTAAGCAGAAAGACAGAAATGATTATAGCAGCACCGCACAATAAACCCTTTTTCAACCTGCAAGTTTGGGCTAGACAGCTGTTGGTTCACTTGATTGAGCATAGACATAAAATGTTCATGTTTATATCTACAATTGTAAATCAAAGAAGTCACGTTATTTTCTTATTCCTCTGCCAGCTGCCAACTATCAAGACTGAGTTTTTGAGTGTGTTTTTCCTACAGTGTGACAAGACCAAGGATACACTTAAAGTTAATGTATTAAGAAACCATTTGCACTCCAAGTAAAGTGTGTTTTGTACATTTCAGAAAAACGTAACAACCCTAGTATGTATGGCTTTGTTGTCTTTGGATAAGAGATTAATGCTTTACACATTCTGACAGAGTGACTCAGTTGTGTTAAAACCTGATTAAGTAATTTTTCTGTCAAAAGCTCGAGCCGAGTCCCTGAGGCAGTTTCGAAGTTAAGGCCTTTTTAAAATTCAAAGAACTGGCAACACTTTGCACTTTTATTATGTAACGTGTGTTTTGGGCAGTTTGAACTTTAATATGATGTAAATATGTCTCTTGGATAAAGAAAATCGAATTGATTTTGTTGTTGTTTTCTGCACCCAAAGCTTTCTTTCTGGATGTTATCTTCCAAATACCAATCCATAATGTCTAGACTTAGAATTGCGCATTTAAATGTAATGACTGTGTAACAACTATGGCGTGAAAAAATCACCCACAAGTCTTTCTCTACCAGTATCTGATTGTTAATAATGAATGCTCTCCTCTTAAATATTAGCAGGCATCTTATTGTAACTCGGCTGCAGTGAAGTTGTTTACTGGAGAGATTTAATTTCACTTTCAGAGCAGATCGATACAAAAGCTTTTGTAAAAGCCTGTATGTCTTTTGGGCTCACATATAATATGGAATTGTCAAGATGGAGACAATGCTGACAGCGTAGGTCTTTATGTGTCGTTCATACTGACAGAATCCTCTGTTCTAATATAAATGTGAAGTTTTATTTGTGATTTTTCGCATCTTTGTCGCTTGAAACGTCACCAAATCTGTGAACCAGAAGAATGTTTGAGGAAGCAGAACACTTACGACCTTAAAATAATCGAATGCGTCATTCTAAGAGTTCAGTTTCTCTCCAGTTATGCAACACCCTATGCAATGTCCCTAAGCGATGTATGTGTGTGCGAATGATCTATGCATGGTGCGAGCCCCGTCTTGCCTCAAGATTGTTTCCATTTTTTCCGACTGGTAAGCCACGTCGTTATGCAATGAAATTGCCAGTAAATTTACGTCTTATAATATTAAGGCATATTAAGTTGTCTTTTATTTGACAGATGTATTTCTCAGTTTAGATCAGGGTGTACTGATCTAGTACACTAAATAGATAGCTATCTGTTGATGGACAGCTGTACGACTGCCAAGTGGGAGTTCTTGTGCTCGCTGTTCTCGACTGACCTTGATAACGATGACAAGCTCAAGGGGTTGATGGAGGCCAATGTAAACATTGTGCAGGTGTCGCTGGCGATGAACCAAGGCATGACTTCATTTTACCACCTTGCACACAGCAGTGTTGGGCAAGAAGCACAATTAAACAGAAATGTGTGTGTTTGCTTGTAGATATGGGGTGCATGCAGCGTTTGGAATGAGTAGGAGGGATTCAGCACGGAGACGAAGGATTGGCAGATTATTTGCTACTTGGAAAAATATACAGGGACGCTACTACTTCTAATCTGAAGTAAATTTAAACTCACCACTCACTTTAAACACTTTCTAACTCAAATAGCACACTTGTCGAGACTGGTAGTGATTTAAATGCCATAATAGGTCAGACTACTCAAAAGTGCAATATCCAATTATTTTAACTAAAAGTCAAATGTGTGAATAAAAAGCATTGTATGAAGTACTGTGGTTCTGCAGGAATGCCCTACAAATCTTGTTCTACAGATAAGCACTCATAATATCAGTCAAAATAATCGCAATATGATGTTTTTTTTTACCATATCATGCAGCCTTAGTGGAATAATGTGTGGATTGGAGAAGCATAGGCAGACAGACTGCAGCAGAATCACCATCTCTAGGTCTTTATTGTGGGTTAATCTTTCCTCAGTAACATGATGATGTCATATATCTCCACTGACACCTGAGGAGGTTTGTTCCTCTCTGACCTGCCCCCCCCATCTCTTTACCTCCTTTCAGTGGTGTAAGTGAGGAAAATGCCAGCATTATGCAACTGGCAGCCCCAAGAGGAGGCCTTTTTTCCCTCATTGTGCCGCTGTGTGCAAAACACTCTGAGACCATGAATAAACCAGCCTGGTTACTGCCTCTGTGCCTTGAGCTTTTTTTTTGTAGTGAGTCCTCTGTGTAATCCAACCTCCCTCACATACCAGTACACCTGGTGATTCGGAGCAGAGGCTTAGAGGACATCTGGTCCTTTTTGGCCCTGTTCAGCCATCCATCTGGCTACTGCTTCATCAACAAACTATACCTTAACTCTGTGACATGGCAGCATTCCTGTCTGCTGCTTCTAAAGCTTGACCTCACATGCAGAGGAAGTTCCTGTATCCAATCAGGTCCCTCCACTCCTCCATGCACCTGACACACAGAGCTGTCCAAGTTTCCACCTGGAACACGACTAAACCTACGTCAGATTGTAGAGTACAGTATCTGCCAGGGACCAGGTGTTACGCGTCCTTTTGCTTCGGAGAATTGGAGGGCTATCTTGTTATCTGTGTCGCGGAGCTATTGTGAATGTCTGTCAGCAAATCCTCCCAGATTAACAGAGTCATGCCTCTTCATTGTGTATGTGTGGTGGTTTGAATGCTTGCTGAGTGAGGGAAAGTGAGAAAGAAAGTTATGGCCTGTATTAACTTTCAGCCCCCAAACAGGGACTAATCTGTGGGCTCAGTTTTAAGAATTCTTTTGAACTGCGATTGCATTATTATCTTTAATTTCAGTTCTGTATTTTGCTATCTAAAAAGAATATTCACTGTTGTTTGCAGAAGCATTAGACATAAAGGATATTCCCTCCCTAAGCTAATCGTTGTACTCTAATAATCTACATTGTGATGTGTTTGCGGTACATCAGAGTGAGTGACAGCCAGTGCTGGCCACTTGAAGGAGAGATACAACATAATCCCCCCCTTATAAGCCTGGGTATAATGAGATTTGGGAGTTTTGGGAACATGCCAGTTCTCACTGCCCTTTCCACCAATGCTTGGCCCATGTGTTAGGCTCCCTGGAGGCACTACCCTGGATTCTGTTGACCCTTAAGGTGGCATGCAACACTGGGACATCCCATTAGCAAGTTTTGGCCAAAATTCCTCCTGCTGCTTTTTTGTTTGTTTTTTGTCTTCTTCCAATTGAGCAAGTGGTCTTGTGCTTTTCCCTGGAAGACAGGGAGAGAAAATGGGATTTGGAGATATGGTTTCTGTTGAACAGGAACACCAGATCCTGGAAATGGAAACCTGACACACAAGAAGGGAAAGGAATTGAATTTTATTGGATTCACTGTCCTCTGTAACCTCGTGGCTTTTTCCTCATGTGTTTGTTGAAAAGGCAAACAAAAACACCTGATGGACTTTGTGTTTCTTTTGGAAAAGTTTGCAAATTCTTACCCTGAATGAAAGAGTTAACTTAACTCTTCCTCTTTTACGGATGTGAACGTGTGACCTACAGTATACTGTAAAAGAGTGCGACACAAACAAAACAGACTGAGACGAGCACAGTTGTGTGTGTGCCTGAGGCAGCGGGTGGAGACTGCAGTACGTCCCTCCAGGCGGGAGTCTGTCTGCACTCGCACACAGAGACGCTCAGATGAGGCAGGAGGAGGAGGAGGAGGAGGAGGAGGAGGAGGAAACAAGAGGGTGTGGCATCTGAACAGACGGCACTTCTTCACTGAGCAGCACAGATGAGCGCAGGCTGTCAGTCAGTCTGTCACTCAAAAGCCGTGGGCCAAGACCTGAACCCGTCATTCTTTCTCTTTTGCACTCTGCTCCTTCGCTGTGTCTGGAGGCCGATGAAGAGGAGGTAGCTCGCGGCGGAGAGGCCTGGGGTTTTCATTCCGGTCAGCAGGATGCATCTGGTTGTAGAACCCATTCAGGAGGCTGTGATGAAGATGCTACCGTATTTCGTGAAGAACGCTGTGTTGACCCAGAGTGAGATAAACCGCATGTGAGTTACGTTTATCCTTTAACATGGGGTTTGGACCAGTGGGAACAAAGTCCTCCGCTGATCAAACACAGTATGACCTTGGACCTCTGGCTCTACGTTATGTTTTTGAAACAAATGTAGGAGTAAGAGTTGGAATGATGACGTGGTCGTTTTGCAAAAGATACTCTGCTGTCAGATTGAATCAATCACTGAACATGTCTAACTGATATGAGATAAATGGACCTCAGTCAAAATAAGTTATCTTGCAGAGGTGGCTGAGCTGTGCATGCATCTCTGTATCAGTGATATGTCTACGACTTCATTCATATGAGCTGATGCGTTGGCATTCTTTCTGTCTGTAAAGGAGCTATAGGTGCTGTAGGTTGTAATCATTGAGGCTATTTGGCAAGCTTTCCTGTTGTAGTCTTTGTTTGCTTTGATACCAGATGTATTTTTAGCCCTACTGTTTGTGGAGAAGCTGATAGCAGGGTGCTGCAGGGCAAGAGACAGTAGAGCTGAGGCTGTTTAATTAGGATGTCTGAGTACAGCCTGTAAAGCAGTGGGACCGCTCTTGAGTTACACATAAGGACAAGTTTCACACATCCTCAGATTTCACCAGAGTGCACCTTTTAAATGTTTTTCTTTCCTGGGAAAATATCAGATATCACAGGATAAGACCTGCGGACTTGAAGTTGGGTTACTAGTTGAAGTAGGAAAAATGAGCAGCAGGGATTTGTACACAGTACTGAGCAGTAATGAGGCCCTAGTCCTCTTCTTGCTCTTGCCACTTTTGCCTCATATTATCCATCATTCCCTGACAGTAGACCCTCATGACAGCATCATAAATCTCAAACAGAGAACAGACTGAAATCAACCAAAGTGAGACAAAAGCTCTTGTTGAGAAGTGTCCACCCCCGTGCTTTGTCACTGTGGAACTTTTTCTTTTTTTTTTTTCTGTGGTGCTGCTGGGGGCGGAGGGAATTTATTGTGAGGTGCACAAAACGAAGTCCATTGTTCCCACAAAATCCTCCGTTTGGCCCAGGCCTGCTCTTCTGTATGTGGGCTTTGAAATTCTGATCAAAGAGAGCTGAGTGAGGGAACAGTTTCAGAGCTGCATATAAAAATGTGACGGTGAAAGTTGCAGTTGTTGGTGTCATTTAGATTCATTACTTTATTGATACATGTTGAACTTTTTGCATTTGGTCAAATGGGTTGTGTGTGGGACATCTAGGGATGTATCCTTTGAGAATATGCACCAATATAGGTTATTGCTTTTAAACATACAGTATGTAATTCCTGTCGCTAGGAGGTCGCTCACATCAAAACAAGAACAGAAGACAAAGTTTGATGACGTTGTGAAGTAGCGTGGGATCATGGGAGTTATTGTCTTCAGCACCATTGCCGTTCCTTTAGTGTTCATCGTTCAGGAGGTTTCTACTGGAAGCCGAATTATCCACAGAGGTCTCCTCCTCTCTAAAACAAACTGACCTGTTGATTATAACACTAAAAGCACTGAATAAAGGAGTTTCATGTTAAAAATTGCTTCTCTGACACTATTGCAGACAAAAAACGTCCTGGAGGGATCTAACGTTACCTAACGCTAACATTACGTCAGCTTGTTTCTCTGATAACTTAAGATCTAGACGTCCGATGACCTCACCGAAATCCTTCATCCAGTTAAAAATTAGATTTAAAAATGATCAAAATCTAAAAAGTGGATCATAAAATGCAGCTTAAAACTGGGAAAAAACTCAATTTATGACAGCTAACAATGCACGCGAAAAAGGGAATATGACGCTATTGACACGCACCATTGAATAAAATTACAGATTTCTCTGGGTTTGAACATTGGAAACATTTGATATAATGTAAGTAATCAACAACATATATAACATATGTCTAGTTTTTGTAGACATTTTAATGTGGAAAAGTTACGTATTATAGCTTTAAGCCAATATCAACAATCACCATTTTCCCACTTGATAGTAGCACTGGGCAAACTGCAGTATAAACTTCAGATGCAAAACAGGTTAGGCTTTTTTAAATCTCACGTCATCAGTAAAAATAATGTTGGACTGATCGCAGTATTGGTCTAAGCTGACATTAGCTAGCAATACTGACACTTTACCAATACATTGATGTTGTAGCTGTAATTAGAGACAGGTTTGTCTTTAGTACCTGTTTGGATTTTGTTTTGTTCCTGTCACTCATCACTTCTGAACTTTCATAATGATGGCCTGGTTTGCCAGACTACACACGCAGAGTACACGGTGCATGTGTCCCACCTGTTGCCAGGTGGATTTATGAATGTGCTCACATTGTTTTCCAATGAGATGGAAGGATTGAATTCAGCCCAGAGGAAATACCTCACTAGTTCTTTATTGCTGTTCCTTATGTAATCTGTTGACAGCTCCAGCAGCCTTACCTTAAAAAAACTCACTTTTACAGGTAGGCGTGAACTGGTAATTGCTGCTTATCGGCCATTGTGGAAGCGTCGCAAACAACTGCAGTTAGGTCAATTATTCAGGTCTGCGTTGCATTTCACCAAGCCAGCAGGGACCTGACAAGTCAAATCTGAGTGCAGCCCATGCAGCAGAAAAAAGACAGATAAGCATTCAGGATCAAAGCTTGATTCATGGCTGCAGCAGGCCTGAGGTCTGCCTCTGTAACGTGGCAGCTAGGCTTTTCCACTCAGCTGTTGAGGTAGATCACCGGCAGCAGGCAGCCGTGATTTATGCTCATCTTGTTGGCTGTGTCTACTGAGCTGAAATGTCCTGTAAACTTGAATATTTGATTTGTCTTGTGTCCCGCTTCTCAGCCCCACTGTCCAGCGAACAAGTGTCTGATGTGCAGTGTTTCAGTGCTTAACTCCTTTCTCCCCATTCGTTTTTCAGCTTGAGTGAGAGCTTCTTCATGGTGAAGGGCGCTGCTCTCTTCCTGCAGCAGGGAAGCAGTCAACAGGGCCAGAAAGCCCATCCTCACCACAAACATGCAGGTGAGAACCGCAAGGACACGGCACCCAAAAAAGCACACCCTGTTCCCCACCATCATTTACCCAAACTGTAGTTTTGATCTCTTTAATCTCCTCGTCAGATTCCTCATCCAGGCTGCGTAGTGCGTTTGTGTGACGAGTTAATGTGCTGCACTCCTTTAACACTGCAGCAGATGTTTAAAGCTGAGGTGAGGAGGATGGAGGCTGCCTCGTTGATAAGCATGTTCCAGACGTATAGCTTAGGCAGATTAGTGCTTAAATCCAGTGCATGGTAGCACTGTGAGCGAAACTTCTGTTGACGATTAAAGACGGCCCTCATTGTTTGTTTTACCTCGTGTGTCCTCTGTTTTTCTCACTGCTTTACGGAGTACAGGGTACACAAGGTAAATGTCAGTGACTATTCTTAGCATACAAGGTACAAGGTAATTCGTTTCAAACATTAAACAACACAAGGTTTCACAACGAAAAGTTGTAGTTCCTTCATGCCTTCCTTCAGTTTGCATAACACAGAATGAAATAAATAAAACAATATATGCAGTTATCTACGTACATATATACACCCAGGGAATAATTCTGTCCATCCACTTTGACTGTGTTTGAGCACAGAGAGTCCGCCTCCTCTCGTACTGCGCTCTCGGAGCACAGTCTGCCTGTCGGGTGCTTGGTCCAGGATGTTGATGGAGTGGGTCTCTGTAAAGATGTGGGCACAACAGTCTCTGATTTCCCATTTCGCCCCCTTTTCGCCCAAACCCTCTATGACTTGGTTTTATAGTTTATCAAATGAATTTTACTGAAGCAACATAACAACTAACATCCAAGTTGTAAAGGGAACTGAGTTTTAGGGTGGAACAGTTTTTGGCATAATGTAAATGAATTACACAGGAACTGGACAATATTGATAGTGGGTAGTTGGTCTGACAGTTTTGTGTTTATAGTAGATAAAGTAACAGTAGCCGATTGACTTACAGTGTTCATACTGTACTATGAGTGTCCCAGTGCGCCCTTTTACTTTCCCAAATGAGGCCAACTTTAACTTTGACCACTACCTGTAAAGAAAATGAATAGAAGTGTAGTGTTGTGTTTAATTTATTTTACAAACTGGCCAGTGTCTTCAACCAAAGGCCGCTTTTAAAATGTCACCACTGAAAGCCACAATTATTGCTTTAAAGACATAAGGCTGACCTGACAGTCCACTGGCATGATGGGAAAATAGCACCAGCCAACAGCCAAAATGGTGCCAAGCCATTTGGCAAGTCATGGCTATGGTTGGCAGCTTTGTCCACTCCACCAGCCACTTTGTCAGGTAACCCACATATTTGCTGGTCCTGCTTTGTTCTCAAAACATTTGGCTCAGGAAATAGTTCCCAGTAACTGTGGACTTTAACAACAAAAAAAAAAAAGATGTGAGGTGACTTGTGCAAAGTTCTTGGTAAAGGTATTCCTGCTCTGTGAACTGATATCTTAGCATCAGTGACTTAAACAGGATTTTAAACAATCTTCTGGTCTCATCAGGCTGTTTTATGGAAATAAACACTCTAATCTGTGGAGCCATACTTATGTGTGGTGACCAGAGCTATGACATTTTATCTTATAGACAAGGAAATCAGTCTTCTTTAACATACAAGTGAGCTGTTTCATCGTGGGGGAAATCTGTGAATGCCCACTTATAAAGGTTTTACCTAAGCTGAGAGTCGGTGGTGTCAGTCGAGGTTATCAGTTGAACTGGGTTGAACCTCTCACATCAACATTGACACACACGGATACATAACTGTCTGTATATATATTTTTTTGTTTCTGTGTATGACTCTCGTATCTTGCAGCTGTTATTTTTTAGAGCAGATGCCAACTTGGCCGCCACAGAGCCGTGAACTCGCTTGACTTTTAAACAGTTTGATCCACTTGGATCCATCAAAACTATCAAAAACACACAAAGAGATTTCACTTAGCAGCTACGAACAGTGAACTCAGAGTGTTCGTGTTCATTCATCAAATAATGGAAAAATTGTTTTTAACAGGCCAACAGACTGGAGGAGCATTAGGATACTTTATAAAATAGGTATATAGTTGATGAATCTTATGTTCCATATTAGGGATGCACCGATCCACATTTTTTCACTTCCGATCCGATCCCGATACCTGAATTTGGATATCGGCCGATACGGATACTATTCCGATACCAGAGCTTTTCTTTAATATTATTATTATCATTATTGTTGATTTTATATGAGATAATATGAATAAACTCCTCAACAGGCAAGTATGATATGTACGTATGTATGCATGTATGTCCCAGAAGGCAACTTGAGGTAAGCAAAAGGTCAGAAAAGGAAGTCAGAAAAACAGGAAATCCTTTTAACAGGAAAAATCCCATTCTGAAAACAAATATGCAACTGTAAGGGTTTCAAATTGATTGTCATGTCAATATTTATTAAATTCCCCAAATGTCAAATATTTGAGTCTTGTAATATAAGAAAAGTGCGATAAGTGTAAACATCTTACACACACACACTATCAATAAAACAGTAATCCCTTTAGGTTTCACGTTGCCTGCCTGGAGTTTACTTTGTTTTTGGAATGACTCCAGAAGTGATTCCTGACAGCTCGCCTAAAAAATCCTCGTGCTGTTTCGTGTGGTGCTTTTTTAAATGTTTGATTGCGTTCGTAGTGTTGTACGGCGCGAGGGCGCTTCCACGTCTCTGAATCACGGCTTTGCAAACATTGCATTTTGCTGTCTTGCTCTGCGGTGTTTCCAGTGTAAAGTATTTCCACACAGCGGACATGTTGGCTAGCCACAATGCTGCTCAATGCTATCCAGCTAGTTGGCTGCAAAATGTACAGCGCTCTTTATTAGTTTCAAATATTTCTAGAGGAGAATAAAACAATCTGCAGAGTTTCAGCTATTTAACTATTAAATATAACCACTGGACTCTTGATGTCTGAGTGAGTGGTAACATCTTGACCACTGATGCAGAATCTTTGAAGAGTCTTTGCTTTTACCTTTAATCTTAAAGGACAATTTTGGCACACTTAGAGGTTGTTGTTTTTTTACATTTTCAGTCCCCTTGTTAAAGTTTCTACATGCATGCACCCCAATTTAATATATATATATATATAATCAGTTTTTAAAACCTTTGGGTCTCATTGTCGAGGTCAACTACGTACTCACATTTTGATGTTTTGCCAGAAGAATAATCATTAGGCTATACATTTTTACATTAAGTATTAATGAGCAAAAAACTAATTATTCCTTCTTAAAAGGGTCTGTTTCATCATCGATTTCACTATCGCTTGTGCTGCAACAGTAATGATAGTCAGTAAATTAGGAGCGGTTGTTGGCTATGAACCTTCAGAAGGATTTATATATCAGTCTCTATTTTTTTTTTTTTTTTTTCATGAGTTTTATGAGTTTGACATAAAATGCATACTCTTTCCAAATCTTTATCCAAAAAAAAAGAACAACAAATGCATTATGTTAAGAGAATGACCCAGATATGAAACAATGTTCCCTCTTGTCCTGGAAAACCTGGAAATTGATTAAAATGACAAAATATGCTGGAAATAATAAATAAAAATATGTGGAACATTTTAATTATATTTTAACCTGTGCTGTGGCCAAATTAATGTTACAGTCAATAGACCTTTGTCACAGCAGCCATTTTAAACACAGGTGTTAACAGTATCATTGGTAACACCTGTCTTTACTGTCTTACTACTATTTCATGACAAAATGGCTGCTGTGAAAAAGGTCCAATCAGAAAGCAGCCCCATAAACTCTGACCACCGTTTGTGAGCAAGTGCTGTCCTGTATTGTCAAGAGAAACTCCTGGAAAATGTCCTGGAAAAGTCTTCTTAAAAAGAGTGGGAACCCTGATGAGACAAAGCGATGACTGGCACATAAACATAACGTCACTTTAAACATGTTTTCACTGTGTTTTTACTAAAGAGGCACGTAGCGGCTGTAAATGAGGTACAAGGAGTTTGTGATGAGGCCATTTCACGCCAGTGGCTGCGGTTATAACCAGTCAGCATGTCATGATTTGTCTATCTGACCTGTTGTGACATATTTTAAGATAGTTGGCTCTCTGTCAGATGCTACTTTTGAATTGCTGTCCAACACCCTGTTTTATTATCCTGCTTCACTGACACGTCTTACATCAGACCTGGCACAGGGAGCACTGAGGGATGTAAAATGAACAAAGACAGGTTTGAATTGTGGTTTTGTGGCTGACAAATTGGCTTATACGAAGACTAAAAATGTCTTTTCGTTTCTTTTCAACGCACACGTCAACTGATGAAATATTGCTGAACAGGTTATATGTTATTGTCTCCATGAGGAAGGCTTTAGTGTTAAACACTAGGGAGCAGTGTAACTTCACGTACCTTCACTAGACTGCAGCAGTGACTTTAATTATATAAACTCATTATGTCTCCAGCATTCATTATGTCCTCATTTATATTCTTAATCAGTGTTGTCAAAGTGAAACAGGCTTTATCATCTTTGCATCTTCACTTTCAAGTCAGAATGTGTCAGCTTATATGAAGAGGTAAATTTACAATGATGACATTTTCTTTCTGATCTTCCTCAACAGGCGACTTACCTCAACACTTGCAGGTGATGATAAACATTCTTCGCTCGGAGGACAGAATCAAGCTGGTGAGAGACAACATAAGTATATGCATACATCAAAACGAAAACATGCACACACACATACAGGCCAGTGACTAACAACCTGGCATAGCAAACCCTCCAGAATGCATTTTATTGTGTACTTAAGATGCTTATTTGTTCACTGTAATTACTAGCTCATGAGAGCAGGTTTGAACACACTCAGGAGAGCATTACCAAATGTTTCCATGGTGTGTGTGTGTGTGTGTGTGTGCGTTAGTGTGAAGCTGAGTTATTTCATTTTATGTTTACCAGCTCGGTGTTCTCACACATCCTGAGGACTTGGTTACCCTATTACATCAAACTTGTGCTCCAGTTTTCTTTGCACATCCAGCTGAGACACTTTGTTGGACACTGATTTTAGCAGGAGGGTCAGTTCTTTGGGGCATTTGCTGTTGTGCACAATCACGGTTTTGCACTCATGTGAACGGGGCCATGATAATCACAAACCTGCCACACTAGATTTAGTGGAATTAACTATGTCCCAACCCGCAAGTTTATTTCAGTATGTTTATGAAACGTACTTATCTTAAAGCATTTTTATGTTAACTGTAACTCAATGTGAGGCAAAAATTTCCTTTAAAATACCGCAGTAATCAAATGTGTTTTTCTTGGCACTAATACAAAAACAGGAAACAGGATTTCTTAATCAAAAGTTCTGGCTTTGAATTTGAGGTCAGTTGTCTTTATCCTGTCCAGGCGGTGCGGCTGGAGAGTGCATGGTCAGATCGTGTGCGGTACATGGTGGTGGTGTACACCAGTGGGCGACAAGACACAGAGGAGAACATCCTACTGGGAATCGACTTTACCAGCAAAGACTGGTAAGAGTATGTGTGTGTGGGGGGGGGGGTATGATCCTTGTTTGCTAGACAGACAGTCATCTGTTAAAAGCTAACAGCGCTCAGTTTATGAATTGATGTTACTATTAGACGTGATATATGAACTGTTTGGAAAAGACAAATCTATATTTATGAATGTGAACGAGCTCGGCCTTAAACTGGAGCTTCTATACAAGCACTAAATGGCACACAGATTGTTGTTTTTAGGGCTGTACCCGACTCAGAGTCAGTCAAATCAGATTTGGCTGTTCAATATGAAGATTCAACTATTTGTTCCTAAACTCCTATACCAGCAGTTCCTGTGGTGGAAACACGTCTGCATGAGTTTCACACTTTAGAGAGAGTAAGTAAAAGTGTGCGTCCTGCTCATAGTTCAGTTATAATGTCCCAGTGCACCACAGAGTGTATCTCCTGCTGTGCTGCTGACAGCGCTGTCAGATGAAGAGTCAATCACAGTGGACGGCATGTACCACCGTCAGGTCCAAAAGAGGTTACAGAGACTACACTGACAGTCAGCAGAGAGGCAACAGGCTGGAGTCGCGCTGCCCTGCCTCACGTTGCCCGGCGTCACGCTGTCCTCTGTTAACTATCACTCTTCTCCACTTTCATCGCAGTTAGTTTTGTGGTTTGTGGTCATTTTTTAGTTTTAAAGTCTACAGCCTGCCGTGCTTTCGCTCTGTGTACAGTGCTGAAAAAAAAAAAAGCGCAGTTATTCGATTGACTCAGGGTGTTCTCGACTGATGATTTGAATCATCAGGTTTTGTGGGCAGCCCTAAATATTTTACAGTAGTTTGTTTCCTTTTCCTAATCCTGCCACTACTTGTTTGCCAGACAGTGTTTAGATTCACAGCTAGTCGTGGTGGAGTTATCCTAGAATGGAGCAATTATAGCAACAGAAGTTTCTAATGCGCCATTGTGGTAATTATATTTCATTCTCCTCTGCCAGCAAAAGCTGTTCCATCGGCATGGTGCTACCTCTGTGGAGTGACACAAAGATCCATCTGGATGGAGACGGGTGAGTCCTCTCTGTCAGCTGTATGCACAGCTTCAGCATTTAACCCAGTGATATTTCCCTACTTACTGCATCTACACCAGACACTTGGGATGAACACGATGCACACACATAGCTGCGTGGTGCTCGGGGGAATGACCATCTGTTTTGTCTGCTCCCCAGGGGCTTTACTGTGAACACGGCAGGTCGGACTCACGTCTTCAAACCCGTGTCAGTGCAGGCCATGTGGTGAGTAATGAACAACCTCTGGAGCCACAGTGGCTGTCTAAAAAAATTTTACTTCGTGACACACCACAATAAATCTCCTGATAAACACATGTGCCCCTCTGCTGCAGTGAGCCAAGTTGAGGCAGTGCTGATTCATTCTGCCACCTGCTGACATAAAGGCGCATGTGCAGAGGGTTGCATAGACCCTTTAACAGATTGTTAGCACTACAGTTATATGATTATCTGAAATCTCTCACAAAATCACTACGACCTTTTATCTTTCCAAACAACTACAATCTAGGTCAGCCCTGCAGGTGCTGCACAAAGTGTGTGAGGTGTCACGCAGGTACAACTACTTCCCCGGAGGCATGGCTCTCACCTGGATGGGCTACTACGAGAGCTGCATCGCGTCAGACCAGAGCTGCATCAACGAGTGGAACGCCATGAAGGACCTGGAGACCACGCGGCCAGACTCGCCCACCATGTTTGTCGACAAGTCAGTTAGCACAAACCAACTTGAATCAGATTCCTTATGTAAAGATTAAAAACTACTCACTGCTACACACTTGACATATCAGTGACTGTGTGAGATTTTTCATGAGCTTTAATCTCTGGTAGGCCTTCAGAGAGAGAGAGGACAGAGTGCCTTATCAAAGCCAAACTCAGAAGCATCATGACGTGCCAGGACCTCGAGAACGTCACCTGCAAACAGGTAAGATATAGAGCGGCACGCACACACTGAAATAAACCATGGTTTCATTTTCAGTGGCTGCATTTAAGAAATCAAAGGAACTGATTTATCATTATTCAACACAAGGTTGTATAACAGAATGAAAGTTTGCAGTCTCTTCATGCTACACACATACTAAAGATAATACAATTTCTAGAATAAACCAATATGTACAATTTTATACATACAGGTATACAATATACATTTCATTCTCTAAAGATCGAGACACCACTCGGTTCTCTTACTTGTTTTCAAACTCACCTTGGAGTTGAGGTTTATGGACGTTACTCGAAGATTTTACAATAGTTTCCAATAGCATCCAAACTCTATTTTGTGTTTCAGTCTTCGTTGATATTCCATCTTGTGACAGTTACATGATACTTGTATAGTTTTCAGGGAAGAAATGTAAAGTAAACTCACCTCAACGATCGACAAAAATCAGCATAATGTGTGTAATGTTTTTGGTAGATCCGTACAGAGTTGGAACAACACATGAACTGCAACCTGAAGGAGTACAAAGAGTTCATCGACAACGAGATGCTGCTGATCCTGGGCCAGATGGACAAAGCCACTCTCATCTTCGACCACGTCTACCTGGTGGGACAACTGATACCGTCTCTTATGTTCACCAAAACATCCTTTGTTTCTTGTGAAGTGCTGTGAGATAAAGCGGTCCTCTTTTCCGTCCCAATGGAAGACTGCTTCCCTGTCAAATGATTGTTTTTGGAGAAAGAACAAGCTTACAAAGACTTGAAAGCATACTAAGTCTAAACAGTATTTTCGCTCATTTGTTTGTAGGGATCCGAATGGAATGCGTCTAATTTGGAGGAGCTGCAAGAAACAGGGTGATTTATTTTATATTATGGGGGAAACTAAGATAACTGCACAAAAAAACATTTTCATAATGACTTGAGCAAGAAGGAATGTTGTTGACGAGTTAACTTTATCTTTCCTCCCCAGGGTGGGCTATATCCTCAATGTTACCAGGGAGATAGACAACTTCTTTCCAGGCACATTCAGTTATCACAACATACGCGTCTACGATGAAGACGCCACTGACCTGCTGGCTCACTGGAATGATACGTACAACTTCATTGTTAAAGCAAAGTGAGTGCCGAGTGGAACAGAAAACATGTTGTCGTGTCAGTTTTTTAAAGACATCTCATCATCACACGAGACTCACATCTCAAATTACTAAAATCTGAAGTTTACTTGGTATTTGGGGCATCAGATAACTTTTCTACATGTAATCACAAAGAGAATTATAGTTTCTTTGAATGACAATATTTGTCTTTCATTTAAAGGTCCAGTGTTTAGGATTTAGGAACCAGTGTTGGGCAAGTTACTTTTAAAAAGTAATTAGTTACAGTTACTAGTTACTTCTTCCAAAAAGTAACTGAATTAGTTACTGAGTTACAAATTATAAAAGTAAGTAGTTACTTCAGAAAGTAACTATTGCGTTACTTTCAAGTAAATTTTTAAATGCTCAAATGTGACCCCACCTCCACCCCTCTTTAACGGAACTTAAAATACATGTGCATGTTCAATTATTTATGATAAATCTGAATATTATAATGAGATGGACACTTAATACAATACATTATTAACAGAAACAATGTACACAAGTCTAAACTATTTTAATGTTGCTGTGGGACAAAGTGAGACTAGCCTCCAATCAAATGCCATGTATATAGATATTATGTTTATATAGTGGATCGATACAAATAACACAATAGGTGTTTTGGAACTTTTGATATATATTGCCCCTCAACAGGCCACAACTGGGCCAAATTAAATTATGCTTGTTAAGCACTATACCAAAAATAAATAACAAATATATACACTCTTTGTAGTGCAAATAAAACAAAAAAAACCTTACAATTGGTAGATATACTGTACCAAAAAGTAGAACAGTGTAACAATATGAGGTGCTTTCACTCTAACTGAAAAGTACAATGTATAGCAAAACTAAGGAATCCAAATATAAATAGGTAATACATAAGAAATAAAAAATACATCTCCATAAAAATAAATCTCTTTCTTTTGATTCATCATTGACAATCTCACTTCAAGAGGCTGCAGCCAGCCAACAAATAAATCTAAATTAAATTATGCTCTTTAAGCAATGTACCAAAAATTTATTCAAACAATATTTCCACTCTTTTTAGTGCAAATGTAAGAAGATGCAACACAACTCGCCATACCTGTCTCTCGTTGACTGACTCGCTTGTGGTGTTCGTTGTGTGTCAGACTATACGTGCTTTCGAACACCCGCCCAACTCTACCTCTGATTGGCTTACCGTGAAATTTTACTCAACCTAAGCCGATCGTCTTGTCTCGGGCACTGCCCACTAACCAAGGAAGAACAGTAAAAAAAAAGTCTTTGCCTCTTGGCTCAGAGATCTAGTTGGTCTGATTAAAAAAAACAGCTTCAATTATAGTAATTTTTTGGCAGGAACGGTAACAGCGTTATTAAGATGGGAAGAGTAATCAATTAGATTACTCATTACTGAAAAAAGTAACGCCGTTATTTATAACGCCGTTATTCCCATCACTGTAAGGAAACCAGTTGCTTCACCCTGTCATGTGTGAAGGAGAAAGTACAGTGGCTGTGTAATGTGCAAAAACATGAATTAGAGCTAGTGCTTGGTTTGTCCCTTCTGGGTTACTGTAGAAACACTGAAGGCGACCTGTGTCAGCATAGATACAAAGGGCTCATTCTAAGGTAACAAAAACACATCACTTCTTATTTTCTGGTGATTGTACACTAATTTAAAAATACCTATGAATATTATATTTATGCCAATAGATTCTTCTAAATGTTACACACTGGACCTTTAATGTGTTTTTGTAATATGCTGTTATTAACATTAACTTTATTTATTAGATTTATTAGAAAACATGAAAGTTCATTCATTCTTCTTTGGAAACAGTAGTTTTATAAAATAGCTCGTGGTTCACTTACTAGCTATTCCTGAAGCTTTCAACCACATGCCCCCTTAACCACCAGGTAAAACCACTTGTTACCACATGGCGGAAGCCCCTTACTTAAGTCACTTGATAATAACTGAGTTAGCTCTTTGACAACTACACAAGCTCCATCGGCTGAGAAAAGAGACCATGAGATGCACTTGTAACTTTTAGAAAAAGCTTTTCTTGAGAGACCAAAATATATATTTTTAATGATTATGTTTTAAACTCTCCCCCATAGAAAGAACCACTCCAAGTGTCTCGTTCACTGCAAGATGGGTGTCAGTCGGTCTGCTTCCACCGTCATTGCTTACGCCATGAAGGAGTATGGCTGGTCGCTAGAGAAGGCTTACAACTTTGTCAAGCAAAAGAGAAGCATCACACGACCCAACGCAGGTTTCATGAGACAACTGGCCGAGTACGAGGGCATCCTGGATGCTAGGTACAGCCCTGTGTGTGTGTGTGTGTGTGTGTGTGTGTGTGTGTGTGTGTGTGTGTGTGTGTGTGTGTGTGTGTGTGTGTGTGTGTGTGTGTGTGTGTGTGTGTGTGTGTGTGTGTGTGTGTGTGTGTGTTGTTTTTCTGGCTGTTTTTGACTTGTGCACACTGTATTTGTGTATCCTCAGTAAACAGCGTCACAACAAGCTGTGGCATCCAGATGCAGACTGTGAGATGGCCGAGGGGCAGCAGGGGTTGGCTCAGTGTTGTGGAGGGGAGGAGGGAGGCCACCTGACTCCAGAGCCGGGAATGTCTCCCTGCTGTGAGGAGGCGCTGTCTGATAAAGGGGCTGCATGTCCCTCCCCGTGCAGGACTGTTTCCCTGGAGATCGACCCCGCTTACAACAACTACTATTTCCGCCGACTCTCTGACTCGGCGCTGGACAGCGAACCATCAACGCCTGTGCGCGGCCCCCCCCTTCTCGGCATGGAAAAAGTCTTTATAGAAATCGAGGATGTGGAGCGGGACGCTCTGCTGGACGACGAGGCCTTTGATGGGCGTGAAGGACTGCCACTCCCCCACTTTGGGCCTTCAGCAGAGGGAACCGCTGCCCAGACAAGCTCTCGGGGGCCTGAGCCCCTGGAGGAGCTGCGTCTGAGGCTAGAGTTCAGCACAGTGGAGGAGGAGGATGAGGAGGAGGTGCGAAAGGAGGAGGCAGAGATGGAGGTACTCATGCAACCAGACGATGGAGGGGGTGGGGAAGGAGGCGGAGGAGAGGAAACGCAGGATGTGGAGGTAGAAGGGGATACAGAGGGAAATGGGATGGACCTGGCAACCCTAAATGAAAACTCCAACAATAACAACCATTTGAGCCCTCCACCTAACCTTAATGTAAGTTTGAGTTACATGATTAACCTACATTTTAGGATGAAAATGCTGTTATTAAGTTATGAATCCAGTTCCCTCTGACTTTTTTCTTCTTCTCCTCTCTTTATTTAGGAGAAAACTTCCTCCATCAATCCTCCAGCTGATGCTTCTCCACAGTCTTTTGGGGATTCAAAGTCCAAGCAGATAAAAGACTCTCCACCCCTGGTGTCTAAGCTTTGCTTTAACCCCAGTCCTCCTGAAGTCCCAAGTGCTTCATTCCCACTGTCCCATTCTTCTTCTGAAGACCTCGCGTCCTCTGTGGTACTGCTACGCCCCTGTGGCCCTCTGTGTGACTGTGCCAACTGTGCTGCCTCCACGCCCACAGCTCCACTCGACAGAGACGAGCAGCCAGGAGAATCACTGCACCTGCCGGAGGCGGAGGACGATGGTGATTTATTGGAGGTTAAGACAGAGAGCCAGAATAGTAAATCCACAGCTTCCTCAGATGCTCTCCCTGAGCTGATGAGAATGGATGTGGAGGAAGAGAAGCCTGGCGTGGCTTGCTACATTGGCCAACAACAGGAAACCCTCGTGCAGCTGCAGAGGTCTGGGCTTGTCCGCCGGCGTGCAGAGAGACTAGAGAGACTTTCAGGTTTATCCCAGGAGAGCCTGCCCTCTCTGAAGCCTTTGGACGCATGCCAGAGGTCCAAAAAGAGCCCCTGTCACGCTGAGGATGAAGAGGAGTTCTCCGGCTTCACAGCGGACTTCCCTAAATCTTCTACACCATGCCAAGTGCGGTTAGAGCCACTGGTGGTGCCACTGACCAATGAAGCCTTGTTGGGGGTGGTGGGCTCTGGGTTGCTCACACCCACCTCCTCTCCTCACGGCTCCACGCTGACACGCAGCTCCAGCAGCGACAGCCTGCGCAGCGTGAGGGGGAAACCTGGCCTCGTGCGTCAGAGGGCGCAGGAGATCGAGACCCGCATGCGTCTGGCTGGCCTGACCGTGCCCTCGAGGCTGAAGCGGTCCAACTCGCTGGCCAAGTTGGGCAGCCTCAATTTCTCTTCGGAGGACCTGTGTTCGGCCTGCTCCTCAGACGCAGGAACACTGCTGCTCCTCTCGCTGTCCCCAGAGCCAGACCCCGGCTTGGAGTGGGACTCCCCCACCACCACTGCTCTGCCCCGGCCCTGCAAGGACCTGCACACTCCAGAGAGGGCGCTACCAGGTGAGCCCAGAAGCTGACACGTCAAAGTGGAGGTGATACACACTCAGCTCGTCCCCTCGTTCGTCTGCCTGTGGATCTGGAGAATTGAGTCAAACAAAACAAAATGAAAACAAAACAACAATGCCAACTGTCGTTAAAAGGAGTGTACGCTCTCTTTTGCCACATTGTTTCTCAAACTGCTGTTCACAGTGATCTAAGTCATATTGCTGTATCTGACAAATGTGTAAAGCCATCAGTTCACCTCTTACTTGGTTTGATTCATGGACAAACAAGTGCCTTACCTATGAGACCAGAGGCACAGAGCTGTGTGTTAGACTGCAGGATGAGACGGTACAAGACGCTCTATAACCTTTAACTTCACAGTACCTGATATGTACCAAATTGTGGTATCCATTGGCACTTAGATTATTTTTACCTGTCTGATACAAAGTGGTTCATCACTGATGAATTTGAGTCCCTCGGTGGAGCTCGACGGAAAGCAAAGTGTTAATAAACGTAGAGTTGTTTACCGCACAGTTTATGTTTTAGATGCTAGAGGGTTGTAAAATTAATGGTTACCTCATGTTACATTCATGGAGCTCTTTCTCAGATGAACACTAGAAGCTTAATTCAGTTCATTTGCTGATGTCAAATTAAAGTGAGGAAATCAGTTTGGAACTCATTTTAAATGCAGAGGTGTGTGTTAATGCATAACTATATGTGAGTCCGTGAGTGAGTGAATGGGATGAAAGAGAAGAGAGCGAGAGAGAAGGTTGTGACTTTGTTTTGCCAGAGGCTTGCTCACTGTTTTCAACAAACAGAACAAAAACATTTCTGAGTTTGTTGTTCCTTTGCACTGCTTTTTTTATTGAGTGAATACTGGTACACAGCAAGCTATCTTCCAAAATAACATTAGAGTAATGTTATTGACCTCATCATTCCCTACAATGTTCTTGGGAGAGCAGAGTGAGGAGTCACGCTGCATTGCTTGAAATCATAATACAAACGCCTTGTGTGACAGGAACTGAGGATTTATGTCAGGGTTTTTCCCAGGTGAAAGTGATCTGAACACAAAACATAAAACATTTTAAACCTTCCTTTACCTTCAATTAGCTCATCCTTGAGGGTTGCCAACATTTTGAATTCATTTTTATGCTTTTTGAAATGTGAAAGACCAAAGTTCTTTGGCTGTCTCGACAAATTGGAAGCACCATCGACGCTGTACAAAATATGTGAACCATAATGTCAATCATACGTATTTAGATGCTGTCACATCTTTTTGCACCTTTTTGGGAGAGACGAAAGCGACTCAGTGAAGTCATCGGGCTCATAGCTGTTAAGCTTCTACGCTCATATCATCAGTGAGTTTGAAAGCTTTTGTCACGCTGACGTGACGACGATCACAATAGGTTACTTCACAGTTTTGTAACCATTTTCTTTTTATATTTAAGTATGCAGTAACTTTTGTACTGTACATTGCTGTAGTTTGAATGCATATTGCACTTTTTATGTTGGTCAAAATAATGTACTGTATGTGTTCATTATGGAAATAAACATTTCTTTTACATAATACGCCGTGCATCCTGTTTTCTCTGGTGAACACAATTGATTCAAAAACTAATAATATCAGAAAAAACAGACGTGGGATTGTATCCTGTATCAACCCTGAATGTGATGGACGCTGAATGGGGAAACTATCACAGGCATAACGAAATATCTGTGCGGTGACTCGACAGTGATGGTGTCTGTATCCTGAAATGACATCATCGTGCCCCCATCTGTATGCTTTGGCAGGAGAGACGTTTTCTAACAGCCAGGTTATATAACATTTGGCTTCCCGTCACTGTTTGCATGACATCAGTGAATTACTTAAGTTACACGCTCTTGTTCCTCCTATATGACTGTGCGTGTCTGCATAATGAATGGTAGGCCCTGTGTACAGTATAGCATGTGGTGGTGGAGCATTGAGGCGGTAAAGATGTTATTTAGCGTTGTTTGTTTGTGAATTGACAGTAGTATAAAGCATCCTGTGTGGGGTTTTTTGGTGCATTTACATGAAACCTGACGATGCTATTTACAGAAATGTGAAATGGAAAACTAATATGTCTGACTACTGTACACTTGTAAACACTTAAATGACAGAGGAACTAAATGAGGAGGCTTGTTAAACCCATCATTAGTGTGCCAAGAATCCTGTGGAGTCTGTGTTGAATTAATGATGAGCTTAAATTAGAGACAGATTGGTTTATGTCTAGACAAGATTGAGAGTGACCTGCAACTCTTTTCAAACACAAAAACACCGGTTGACAAGACGATGAGGACTTCTACATGCAGCTTCCCGTCTGTCAACACGGCAGAGTTCAGTCTACAGTCTCTGGGTGTGGGCCGGCCCCTCTTCCCCTTCTTCTGCCGGTTAATTCTTGGCTGCCGTAACCTCCACTTTTGTTTTATTATCTGAGGACGTATCCTGTTTTGGACATTACTATAGAGACCGAGAGAAACAAAAGAAAAGGGTCTGAGCTATTTTTCAGATGACTTCCCGCTCTCCTGGTCCTATCCAGGTTAGCTACAGTTACTCACTTTTTATCCCAGACTTCAGCCATCTACTTATCTTTACTAGGGTTGAAGTAGTATCTACGTAGCCCATGACACCGGTATGCAAACAGTGTTGTGTAAGGGAAAAATTAGGACATTCCTTATACTCACTCTAACTGTCGGGATCTGTACTGGTCATTGACCATAACATCCAGTATCATTCCTCTGCCTTACTTGGTGATAAGGTGAAAAGGTCACCACTTATGGCCTGGCAAAACATTGTTTTTCATGCACTTGTTAATTTTGGGCCAAAGAAAGTGTCCAAAATACACTTTTATGTGTTTATTCTACTATACAGCTATTTACTCCTGTATATCTCTCCTATAAATATAGGACATACTGTGTCTGTATGTAGTTGTTTCCAATAAAAATGTTTGGAATCTCCACTTCAGTAGCCTTTACATGTACCAAACTTTCCAGTTTTATTCTTATCTATAATCTGAACATTTTTACAGAGAGGTTTGTTCACATATCATCCAAAGCCTGATGTATACAACATTTCATTCCTAAAAAGATGGCTTTTTTTTTTTTATGGCTTTATTTTCTGGTTTATTTAGCGATAAAACAAGATTTTTGTACTTTGAACATAGCTTTTTCCAGTGTTCACATTATTGCAGATTATTGAAAATATTATTTAATTTTATTATTAGATAATAACCATTTGCATATTCAAACATAACATTTCAGAAATCTCGTAATACAAAAAGAGAGTCTTGTTGTCAATAATCAGCTGGAGATGTTTCATGGTTTTATCAGTTAGTTAAACATTTCCTCCTGTAGTGCCTCAGCTTCATCCTAACACATTCTCCATTAACCACACACACAAACAAAGATACAGTATGAAGATATTAAACACAACTTTTCGGAGGTTTTCTCAAAACAGCAAAAAGTAACGCTACAAGTTCTCCTGATTGTGTTAGTCAAATGTGCTGTGACATCACATGGATGTAATATAAGGCTCCCATTGCTTGTGCATTTGAGGGAGGACTGAACATCACCAAACAACCAACAAAGAGCACTCTGTCGGTCCCGAGAGAGAGCGAAACAACACGGCAGCAACGTCTATCTGGTAAGTGTCAGCCTCAACATATGATAACAGATCAATATTATATGCATCTCATTGTAAGAGCAGGGAGTCGTCATGAGCCAGGCCTGTGCCCAGCTTGTTGTGTTGTACTAAACAGAGCGCAGAGGTGGTTAAAAAAAACGATACATTGTCTATTTTCCCAGATGCTGAGACTTGTGAGAGGTCCCTGGGTTAGTGGTTTTGGATTCCTGTATGTCTGAATATGTTGAGCAGCAGAGCACATGGTGATCAAGTGATCAGCTTTGAGCATTCAGGGAGGATGAGACAGGATAATAGAGCAGTTGTTAACAGGGATAGACTGCCCGAGGGGAAGGGGTTCCCCACGCTGACTGACAGAGTAGGTGGAGGATAATCAATGAATGCAAATTCCACTGAAGCCCCATCTGATCTGAAGGAGGGGAAAAGACACTTCTCTAACCGTAACACCATGAAAAACTTTTGTATCTTCTCACACAGCTATGCCACCATTGTAGGGGGATAACATTAACTCCCTTAGCCATGTGTCTGGCCAGTGAGTCTGTCGGATGATAAGACAACAGCAGTCATATGTTGTCACACAGACGGGGCATGAGGCCACAGACAGGAAACAGACTCATGGTCCAGATCATTGTTCATTGTGCCTCGCCATTTTCTCTGCTTACTGCTGCAGTTTAGTGGATGAAAACTCATTAAACAATTAGACAATCTCATGGAAAAGTTTGCCTCTGCAACACGATAATCTGGGTCTTGCCTCATGTTTTGATTTCTTGTTGACAACAGCTGCTATCGTTGCACCTCCTCCTCCTCCTGCTACTATGAATACTCCCATACTTTTTTAACCATTAATCATCATCCGCACGAAAACCATCGACATCTTCTGTAACAGAGCAATAACAGCAGTCAACAACACAGGATAATGTTCCTCAGAAGAACCTTTTAAATACAAAACATATCCAAAGTTAGATTCACACAGTGCTTTTATTCCACTCCAGCACAGAATACTTGCATTAAGTTGAGTTGAGTTTTTTTAAATGCTAACATCACGTCTTCCTCATATATACAACACGTGGCGACACAAAAATACTGGACTCACTGGCGCCTAATCAATTAATTGGGTCACATGAAACTAAATCAACAAAAAATAATCTGACAAGAAGATGCAGGAGAAGCTGACTCTCAAAATGCAAAGAGTGGGAAAAGATATTTGCTGACCGAGTGTCATAAGACACCAACAGAGACGGACTAATCAGTTTGTCAGGCTCAGTGTCCCTGTCGTTCCTACTGTTCTGCTGTGAGGCTGATTATCCCAAAACATTCATCACAGATTTTTCTTATCAGCACTGTTACTATGAGGATGAGGCTTAAGTTTAAAACATCCATTGAATTTGCATTAGGGCCGCACGGTATGGCAAAAACATCATATTGTAATTATTTTGAAAAATATTGTGATATGGTTCACAATTTGTAGTTTCAAAACTATAATTCATTATAATGTAATAATATAATATACCTGTTTTGTCACACGTTATACCTTTATCAAAAAAAAACTGCAGCTTCTGCAATTTGCATATTTCACCATATTTGTGATTCTGATAATATTTAGATTAATTGTGCAGTAAAAATACAACATTATATCCAGTGTAAGAGTGAAATAATGCTGCAGTGATAGGGCTGAAGGACTCAAATTCACAAGTGAGATTGATGCAAAATCTTGTGACTGTAATTTGACTTAAAATTGAGCAACTGTGGTCATCGCAAGTGCATGAATAACCCCAACAGAGGGGAGACTATAGCAGTTAAAGTCATAAGATACTTCCATGAAAATAGCTCCTGTGTGACTATGAGTTGTTTGCTACATGCTACATGGTCTCTTCCCAAGTCTAAAGCCATTTCTAATATCTAGACAGTGATGTTAACCCCAGGTGTCGGCTCCTCTTCTGTTGCTTTTCTGTTTTCAGTGCAGTATTCAAATGAGAAATATGAGCGGAGGTGCTCAGAATAATATAGATTGTGGTGGAGCACAGATCAGTCATGGTCAGCAGGCAAAACAAAAAACTTCTGGGATGGCATTCCTAACATGTGGTATGATTTTGCGAGGTTAACACCATGTCTTTCTCCACAGACCAGTATGGGACAGAACCAGGATAAACTGGAAGGGGGAGAACAGGCCCTCGATGAAGGATTAGAGGGGACGAGGCCAAGCCCTGACTCCCCCGACTCTGGAGATGCAGGCAGTCATGCAGGTGATGTCATAGAGGGAGGAAGCTCCTGCGAGGAGGAGGCTGGTAACACCAGGGAAAATTCAGGGGAGCCAGACGCTCAGGATCTGGACGGGAGCCCTGGCAAGGAGCCAACAACACCTTCTAGCGAGAAGCACATAAATTTGTGGGAGAGTCCTTTCGCTGCAAGGGAGGTGAGACAGGGAGGGGCTGCAGGAAAGAAGGGAGGAGGAGGAGGAGGAGGAGGAGGAGGAGAAGGAGGAGAAGGAGGCAGGACTGCTCATCTGGTTCCACAGGAGACGGACGAGAACCAAAGGAGTAGTTCGTGGATTGAGGAAAGAGCCAGAGCGTACAAGCTGTTCAATCAAATCAAGAGAGAGGAGAAGAAGACTGAGGAGGAGCTTCACAGATTGCCAAAGGTCAACATGGAGTGTCGGGATGAGGAGATCCAAGATGAAAACTTCTCGACTGGAGTTTCATATGAAACATATGGCCATGCCGTTACCTCAGAGGATGCAAACTCACTCGGAAACATTGAGGAGGACTCTGCGGTGGTGAAGATGAGCAGATGTGGGGCTCATGCAGGAAGTGAGTTGTTACCGTCCGTACAACAAGATCAGAATGACACCTTTATGGCTGAGGTTGCAGATGAAGAAATTAAACTCTTTACGGGAACAGTGGGCTGCTTGAGTGGAAGGAAGGGACCGCCTACAGCCCAACCCCAACATCCTTTGAAAAACAATCTGCAGAAAGAGTCTCTATCAGACGTGAGTGATACCATTCACTGCAGACCTCCAAAAGGGAGAACAGAGAATAATGCAAAAGGGGAAACGCAATCATGTGAGGCAAAGCCAGTTTTGAGTGACTACTCTTCAACAAAACCAAAGGTTACTGACACTGACGATCAAAGGGAGTCAGTGAGGCCTTATCTACAAACAGACACAACTGAAGCAACCACAAATCAAAACTCGAATTCAGCATCAAATCCGGCCTTACCTGCTGAACCCAGTTCTATTCTGGAGAAGCTACTGAAGAGAAATAGAAAGGAAACAACCCCAGCTGTTTCAGAAATAAAAGAGGTAAAACACACCATGGATGTTGCTGCAAAGAGGATCCCTGACAGTGTGGCAGCAGAGCTGTTCACTGATAAAAATACACCTATGCCAATATGTGACCTGAAGGGGTTGAAAGAGAAACCACATAAAGAAAACCTTGCAGCCAAAGATCATCACGTTACAGGCCGGGACATGAAACAGACAGACACTACAGACACCTCAGATGTACTTCAGCCTGGAGTGATTGCAAATACCACGTGTGAGAGCTCATGCACAAACTCGCATTGTTCCAAAGTTGATTGTCAGAGTACAAAGAACATCAACTCAACAGATGCTTCAGTTAAGGAGATAAAGCCCAATACAAGCCCCTCTGAAAACCTGACCTCAGAAAACTCACAATCAGCTGTTTCACATGAAAGAACGTCATGTGAAGTGAGTGGTGTGATTACTGAGGAATCTGCACCTTTTTCACTGTCTCCACCCACAAAGAGTGATGGGCAAATTGCAGACTCATGCCATATACTTACTGCAGAGAAGACAGCCGCCAGTACAGTAAGAGCACCTCTACAGAGAAAGAGTGACAGCGAGAGCAAAGCTGATCCACAGTCATCTGGCTCTTCATGCTCAGATGATCAATCTGTGAGGAGGAAGAAGGTGAAAGACACTGCTGCAACAGCTGCGGAGGCTGACTCAGTTTTGGTTGTAGACGACACAGTTAAATCAGAGGAAAGCCACCAGGTCACAGCAGGCATGAAGCAGGATCTTCATACACTTCACTCAGAAAATATGATGCCAGACCAGCCTGGTAAAAAACCTGTTAAAGAGAGTGATGACAGCGTCTCAGAGAGAGATAAATCCCAGAGCACTCCCAAATCTAGGCCTGTCTCAGAACTCATAAAGGAGACCATTCAACTGCATGAAAAACTGCAGCACCAGGACCGGCCAAAGCCAGCTGAAGTCAAGTCTGATGAGCAGGGCCAGTCTTTGAAGGTGGCACAGATGAAGGCGGCTTTCGACTCAGCTCAGAAATCCCCAGACAAGGCAATCGAGAGGAAGCCATCAATGAGAAAAGGTAAGGGTCAAATCTAGCTTACTGCATTATATATATATATACATACACACACATATATATATATATATATATATATGAGTAGAAACCGTGGATAGTGGAGAACACACTGGGAATAACAGGATGGCAGGTAAATAATCAGTGAGTCCTTTGTTATTGAAACGATAATTGACCTCTGAAGTCTGCTTTCCTGGTCAATGAACCATGTGAATCTGGGCTGCCAGGTTCACCACAAACACTTGCATCAGCCCTCATCTACAAGGCTGAAGGAGGGTGAAGAAAAAAAAATAGATTGGATGATGGAATACAGCTGTTTTCTTCTGTCAGTGTCTGCATCACTCTGGATTTGTGAAATATCGCCATCTTGTGGTGCTGTAGTACACTTGTAGTACATTGTGTTCTTGAAATATATTTTTAATATCGTGCAATTATTTCTTGCTCAGACAGAATCATTCAGCCATGTAGATTTGTGTTTATATTTAGTATCCATAAATGTACCCCCACTCACTCACAATTTCACTTACACACATAAACACACACACTACCTATTCTACCATTCATTATTATGCCTCACCCTTTTTTTTATATATATATTATAGGCCCTCTTGGCTCATTCAGTTGCTCCTAAATGCTGTTAAATGATGGGTATGGTGCACTCCCCCCCTTCTGAAAAGAACATGTTTTCCTTTTTCCTATTAATTTATGTATAAATTGTATAATTTGTGTATGCAAAATGATGCCTTTCCAGGGGCAGATCTAGAGAACTGAGGATGTGGTGGCAAGAGGGTGGCATGGAGATTTTAAGGAGTGTCAGAAATACAGCAAATATATGCTGATTTAATTGCAAACAATCACATATTTGCTTAGAAAAGCTGCCAAATTATGATATTTGAATAAAAAAAAACATTACATTATTGTGGCACATTAGTTAAACACTGAATATAAATTAGAAATTGTTTTATTTCCAAATCTTTTGACATTTCTTCCAAATACATGTCTTTTTATCATTGAACTTAAGGCTATCATTAAGTCTAAAATGTGGCCATACCAGATCCGTAAATTTCCATTCTTTTAACACATTATTTTTAAAATGAATTCAAATGAATGTGTTAAATCTGACAGTCTTTGACACCCCTCTAGATCCACCCCCCTCTAAAATGGTGTGACTATAATCATTATATAACAGGGAGATACTGATAAATATATTCATCTAAAAAGATAATATCACAAAGAGATTAAAATCCCATAAAAACCACCATGAACACACAATTGATGGTGATTTTCTATAAATGGGGAACCTGAAAGAAAGAAGGCGTGAATTCAACGTCGTGCAACAAAAAAAAAACCCCGCTCTGATTGGCTCGTTGGAGCTGTCCGTCAAACACCGCTCAGCCACACGGGGCTCGCCAAGCCAAACGAAAGGGGGCGGGACTTAGCGGCAGAGTGGGGGAAAGAGCAGACAGAGCGAGCGGTGTCAGCACAGCAGCGGCTCCGGCAGCGGGAGGACTCAAGTGGGATACGCGTTGGGCTGTGTTATATCCTTCAGGCTTTCGGGAATACTTTCATTTATCTCCTTCAGAAGGTAGGTTGTATGTATTGTGTGGATTGTTAACAACATGTGTGGTTGTTTCTTCCCTTTTGTCCCACCCTTTTTTATTTATTTTTGGGTTTATTAAAGCGGGTCTTCCGTTTTCCCACCTAACAGCCATCCAGACAGGAAAGTGCCTGCGCTAGCTAAAATGAATCGGGATAGTCTTGTTTTTTTTTTTTTTTTTTTTGTAGCTTAGCATAGGTTTTAGTTAGCGGTTAACCGACAATGCCGAAAAGTTTTAAAGCGTAAAGTGCACGAATTGCAGATTTTAAGCGGTGTTTTTGTGCCCTGTGGTGCTGCTGTGGGTGATTCACGACATTAAAATGTGGTGTTATTGAGCGGGGTGGGGTAGCTAACCATAGTGCGGCAGGAAAACTTATCTCCCAAACGATAGATCCACACACACACACACACACACACACACACACACACACCGAGGTGCAGCACAACCGCGCCCTGGCCCTTGGCATCCTTGATTGTTAATATAGACTCTTCAAACTGAACAATAGGCTCCAAACATAAAAAAAAAAAAAAAAAAAATATCCAAGAGTTAACTCTTTCATTTACAGACATAATTCTCCCCCCTTACCACCACCGCTTTCATCCAGATGCCAGGTTCAGATTGTGACCCACTAACTGCCTTTCATGCTTTTTAATGCACCTTACAAATGTTACCCGGTGCAATCACTGTGTCCCTCCACCAGCTCCTGCTTGTTTAGACACAACACGTGGAGAAATGATGGCATTCAAAATATTTAGGGTTTTGTGCAGAGTCAGAATCAGGTTTGTTTTCACACGCAAGGATTTTAACTTGGTGAATAGATGCATTAAAATACACACAGAGAACAATAAAATAAAGATATAAAGAGAGAGACAATATGTACAATATAAATAGATGTATTGTTGTTCAGGAAGTTAGCAGTGTGACATGATGATATTGCTTTGTGCAAGATTAAAAACCAAGGGAAGTGCATTAATGCATATATTAAGGGTGGGCGGTGGGTTAAAGAGTCACTGGGGGTCCTGGGACTTGTTGATAAGGCCAGCTGCAGATGGGGGGAAGAAAGGTCAATCTTCTCTAGTAGTTAATCAATGGGGGCAGATATTGAGATATTGTGTTGCTGCACTTGAGTGTACTGCTGAGTCCATCAGTATTGTGACAGCTGTTTTTAATTACACCCATTTTACAGCAAAAAACAAGGGTTTGGTTTAATTATGTTCAAGTCAAATTAAGATTGCATTATTAGACTTGTTTGTATTCAATGGCACTTTATTGTCTTTTAGTCTGATTAACCTAAATGTAATTTCTCACAACTTCACCACATTATTAAATTGGGTTTGCACTAGGGCTGCATAATTAATATTATTGAAAAAGCAATATGTCCAAGTGCAATATCTAAATTACAGAAGCTGCAGTTATTTGAAAAAAGTAAAAGGAAATTGTGACAAAACAGCATTATAACAAGGTAGTGTGGTGCTGCAGAGATTCCCTGGCCAACAAATTGTGTTCTTCAGATTTAAAAAAACATGGTTGTTTGATACAGACGTCAACAAATGTCACATGATCCGTAATTTTAATCAAGTGAAAATCAAATTTATGACGCAAAAATTATAATTCCTATTAATTGTGAATCATATTGCAGGCACAGTCTTTCAAAACATGATGTTTTTACCACACTGTGCAGCCCTAGTTTGCACATTAATGAATGCTTTGACAGGGTACTTTTTTCTTTATAAGTAGCAACTAAAGATTATTTTCATTATTGATTAATCTGTTTGACTAATTGTCCAAATCCTACACATATCCGATTTAACAACGATACAAAACAGAGGAAAAGGAGCAAATCCTCACATTTGACCATCTGGAAGCAGAGTATTTGCTAGTTTTGGTTCATTAAAGGACAGAAACAATAAATTAGTTTATTTTCAGCTCCTCGGCTAATAAATTAATTGACTAATTGCTTCCTTCCTGATCACAAGTATCATGAATACGCTCCACCCTTAAAAATTTGACTCGGCTCCTGCCTCGGAGCTTTCGAGCGAGTAATGTGATTCTCAAATGCCATTCTGGGAAAGCAGTGTATTGAAAATCGATCCAAAACTGAAGGTTGTGCGCCGCTCCCCTCCTCACTTGGCAGTCGTAAATAGCCTCTCCGGTCGAGCCCTAGTGGCTGGGTGTTGACCCAAGTAGTCCTTTGTGTGACCCCCCCCCTCATTTGCTCTCTTATGACAATAGTGCAGTTTGATTTGTAATGACCATGGTTAGTGTGCCAAAAGGGCAGCGTGATTTGCATATTTGGCCCCTGTCTTGAACGAGGTTACCCAGCTTCCGCGTGTGTAATCCGCTTTTTGAAGCTGGAGTCCCCCCCCCTTGTCGAGACACGCCTGTGGGATGCAGAGCAGGTGAAGGCTGACGGAGCGACCTCAGGGTCAACAGTCAGCGCTGCTACAGCTGTGTTTGGGCTTGTTAACCATTCCAGACGCATCAACCTCTGCTGGTTTGCGCTGCAGTGCAAGGTCTTTAGAAGTGCGTAGCCTGCCTTCCTATGGCTGAGGGAGAGAGAGAGCGAAAGAGAGAGGAAGTGGGTCAGGAAGCAGAGGGAAACTAAGCATGAGATGTGAGGGAGTGTTGGTTCCTATCAACTGCAGCAAGGCGTGCTTGTGTGGGCTGTGGTGAACTCTCCAGTGCATTTTTTTTTTTGCTAACATTTTGAATCTGCTTCAGGAAGATCATTAAGATTTATAATGAGTTGCCAACGTATCCATTACATTTATTTCATCAGCGTTGAAAGTCCAGATGTTCCCTGCTTGGCCAACTCAAGTCAGTTAGTCAGTCGGGCTTTGTTTTGTGGACTAAGGCATGTGAAGGTGTACATTAGATAGAAAGTAACTTTTTTTTACATCTTTTCTGTGAATTAGTTATCAGTCTACTGGAATAATCAGCGTCCTCTGAATAGAAGCTACATATTTGGTCAACAGTTTGGCCTCTGCATTTGCGTTGGACTCAAAGATTGCATTCTTTGAACATGTCTGACATACCTCAGTTTGTGTCCAGTCCTGTCTGTGCGAGATGTTATCTCAGCCCACACTTTCTGCCAGAAACCTTCAGAATGACATGCCACAACTTGAAAAGTCACCAGATTTTTGATGAGTTTGATGTCTTGCAAACTAGACAAGATGAGAAAGAAGCATCCCAATAGCATCAATTAGCATATTAGTGTTTGTTTGTTTGGACCAGGCTGATGATGAAGAGGACCACGTGCCTAAATCTGTGCCCCTAATTGCTTACACAGTGGGAAAACAGACACAAACGGCCCATCGACAGTGGTTCTTTGTTTAATAAGCCACAATTAAGTATGTTGAATATATAGAGATCTAAAGTTTATCTCAGCTTGTGAGATGTCTGTTTTACATAGAGATTAAACTATATGGATTTTTTCCTATTGTATGTTTTGGTTTTTTAAGAATAAGTTTGCTTTAGCTCTGTTCAGATGGCCCTCTCTCCTGTTTTCTTATGCTTTCTGTAGCTTAGCAATTCCAGCAGATGCACACAGACTAATACTATTTCTTCCATTGGTCTTTCCCACCACAGCTGACAACATCTGTTGAAATGGAGCAGTGGTTTTGTGCATTGCTCATTGGGGGAGGGGGAAGTAGCTGATCAGGAAGAGGAAGGGACATGCTTTGTACTCGCAGGCTGTAATATTTAGGAGTTCACTTGGAAAAAAAAATGTAACAATAGGCAGGGTTTTTGCATTTGTCCTCTTATTGTGGTGTCTGTTGTGTTTTTCTTTTTTTATAGGAGAGATATAAGCTGCTGTTTGTGATACAAAAGTAACCCCACACACAAACACTCATAAAAACTAGAGCTTTTTCCGGTTGTGAGTAATCTTTTAGGATTTTAAAGCGGTCTCTCTCTTTTTTTTTTTTTTTTTTTTTTTTTTAAATCTTGACTTTTAAGCAGGATAAGAAGTTTAGGAGTTCATCTTAAGTCTCACAGCACAGACATTGATAGAGAGTCTGGAAGGAGCTTTTTGTGCCAGAGTACAGTTTTAAAGCATGGTCAGCATCACACTAAACATGCAGACATTTTCTGACACATTTATGTTTCCTACGTCTGAATCTAGGGAGTCTGTTTCAGAATGAGGAAGTTGGCAAAATCCTCAATTCTGCTTTTGAGATCTTTTCATCAGTGAATGTCTGACATGTCACATGTCATTGATACACGTGCGTAACCTTTACCTAGTTCACGAAATTGGAGTGGAGCCGGTAATTGGTTCTGTCCACGTGTTACCCAGCACCGAGTGGGGACGTTTGAGGCACATTGCTCTTGTGTCTGCAAATCTCATTTCCTCTACAAAGTATAAAAGAATACAATTGCATTCCTTGAAAACACTGGTGCACCAATGGATCGTGTTCCAGTGGTGTTTAAATTGAGCAGCACAAAGACTGTATGGTCACTCGGAGGGTTGGAGAGAGGTGAAAAAACAGCACCTTATCTCATTGTTGCAAGAAAAAAGGCACTGGAATGTAGCTGGAATCTGATTACAATGGTGGTCCGTGGCCTTGGTTACAGGAAGGGGATTTAGGTGGCGTCTCATGCGGTCTTGGTGACAAAAGGCAAAAGGCAGCCAGTGTATGGGGAGCAGTGAGGCGACATCACTGGTGTGTGTGTAGTCGCGCCGAGGGGTTGCATGGGTAGCAAAGTGTGGGAAAGAAAAGTCTGTGACCATTAGTGGCTGTTAAAGCTCTACGGTTACAATATGAAACTTACTGCATTAAGGTTTTTCTTTCTCGCCATTTTAATTCTACATCTTGTTTTACTGTTTGCTCATAAAGTACTTTAAACTCCATACCTTGCTTTTACTTCTTTTCCCCACAAAAACACACACACACACACACACACTGTACCTCTGTCTCACACTGCACACAACGGGTTGCACCCCCTGCTTAGCGTGCGTCACGACAGCAGGTGAGCCACGTGTTGTTAAAGAAGTAGCCCACTGTTGGTATGCAACCTCCCCCTTGTGGTACGTGGAGGAATCTGGGAAATATATATTAAAAATAAAACATTTTACCATCAAAGCACTACACATTTTTTAATTAAAATTAAGTATGCGATTGAAGTACTTTTCAAAATAAGTCCTTTCCTATAATATTTTGTGTGTGTCGGCTTGCTACGCCGTCACGTTCATGCACGTAGCGCGCCCGTACATCCATAATTAGTTACGAACTCTAATGTGACAGCAAGATAGTAAGGGGAGATAAAATGAATTAACACTGCAGTCTTGGCTCCAAATTCGAACATTTTCCGTTCTGGATTCAACAACAGTCAACAGTAAATAATCCTCTTACTTGAAATAAACCTGCGTAAACTGTCTGTTGACTGTCTTTAGCTGTATTGGGTTGGCACTGAATTTGCAAAAAAAAAAAAAAAAGAAGCATATTAAATAAAAACTAATCTCTGATGCAATATTCACAGGAAATAATCTGCTCAAATTCATCCAAATCTCCCGTTTTACACAAACGTCCTGCAGTTATTGCGTCAACTATTGGGGTTAACTGTACAGTTTGTCTGTTGTTCTGTACTCTGATATTATTAATAATAGGAAATATACATGAAATATATAACTTAGTCAGGGGATGAGTTAGATGACGTTAGCAGCCACATTGCAGGGAAGTCGGCAATAACAACAATGATGAAATGCACCAACAAACAAAGGATTTGCAAAACTAAACACGTAGCAGATAAGACCTGTTGAGAAACATGGTGGAGCCTTGTTTTATGTTCTGATTGAGTGACCTCAGCTTTAGACTACACACAATCAAGACGAATGGCTCAAGATGAGACAAATGTTGGGTTGTGATAAACTTGACCAATGATACAACAGACAAACAAAGGAATACGCTTCTGATTTACAGTCACAAGATGTAAATTGTTGTTTTTAGGTGATATTGCACACGCAGCAGCCACTGCAGTTTGTATTTCTAGGGCTCAAATAGTCAGTTGATGGAACAATTAGTCTAAGTTTTAGTCTGTTACTAAGGTAAAACACCAGTCTTGCTTTTTACAGCCTCAAAGTCCTTTATTTTTTTCTTTGTTTACTTCAATTTATGGCTGGACGTGTCGTTGTCTCTGGCTGCACCTTAAGGCTGTGGAAGGACTAGTGGGTTTTTGCTGCCTAGTCAAGCTCAACCTGTTGAGAAACAGGTCTGTTTTCTGTCAACATTACAGTCAGTGCCCCTTCAGAGTAACAAGCTCAGGAAGAACCATTTCAGAAACATAGTATAGTTGTGAAGTTTGATAGTAAAAGCTTATGGAATAGTAATAAACACAATATAGTACATATACAGTATATTTCTGTAAGAACTGTGTTGTGGAGACTGTTAAGGCTTTGTCATAATTCTGCTCTAATTCTGCCGCCCCTCCCTCTCTCACATCAGCTCATCCTGATTTGTGGCTGGGATTTTCATGTTATGTCACATCTCATTCACCGAGCACACTGGAGTATCTGCTTGTTTGGAGTAAGCCATTGTCTTGGGGTTTCAAAGAGCCGTAATAGGCAGTGAGTTTTAATCCTGGGTAGGCTGGTTATCTGCTGTAGCAGTGATCTTATTGTCCAAGTGCTGTAGGTAAGCAGTTTAGTAAATCTCATCCTTGTCCAGACGTTTCTCCTGGAACTGAAGTTGTGTCTTCTGACATCTCTGTACACAACCATTTCCTTCCTACCGCCGTGTCTTTATTTTCAGGGTGGGGTAATAATATGCAATAATATTATTCTCTCTTGTCCTGTCAATGAGAAACCAGTTGGAGTACAAATAGCTGTTGACAGAATGGGGGTGGCTCCATGTTTTAATTGGGATGTGTGAACATAACTGACTGTGGCAGGGATAGGCAGCATTAAGCGTCTCCTGTCGCCGAGGACGTGCCACAATCTTACGTCTTTGATGCACACGCTCCAAAATCTACAGTCGCCTGCCAAAAAGGGGTGGATGGGGTGAGGGACCTCTGATGAATCGGTAGCACAGCAGTAAGAGGAGATATTCAGATATTTGGTCACCTGCAGTTGATAGTTGCTGGTAGTTACTGATATTAATCTGGGGTGGGACAGAATCAGCAATAAGGAATGTTATAGGAATGACATTCTGGCACGGAGACCAAACTCATTAAGCTTTTTTTTTTTTTTTTTTTTTTTTTTTTTTACTTGTTTCCTCTGTAGCTGTTTTGCAGTCTTATGTCGGAGCAAAACAATTTCCCCTTGGTTTAACAGGAGGCAGCCGTCTGTACTGTGAATGTGAGGTAGAGCTCAACGGCAAGCATGAGAGGCCCCAAATTCTTACTTTACATCTTTCAGAAGTGTCTATTGATATTACAGTGAGTGATAGTGATATTTGCAAAGAGACGCACAACCACACAATGTGTGACTGGTGGTCTGTAGGTAGAATTACCACCCAATTTTCCATAAAACCAACATTTCCTTAACAGTATTGTCAGATTTTAAATAGTATCAAGGGATGCGAAGAAGGATGCTTAAAAACTGTGTCACACTGGTCCCGTTTCCTGTTGGTCATTTCCTCGGGCTGTGGGGTCCTCCTTCTGTCTCTGCACATTAGGGTCAACTCTGCTGGCTCAGGAGGCAATAAGGTACATAGCTCTCCTTTCATCTGATTTGCCCAACAGATACTGAAGGTCTCTTTTTTTTTGTGTGCTTGAATTAGGGCTGGATCAGTGAGCTGCAGATCTCAGGAGAGTGTCACAGTAGCATGGCATCCCCCCAAGGTGTGTCTATCTCTCTCTCTTTCGCTCTCTCTCTGGCGTATGTTTGAGGCTCTCAGACTGGTGCCAACCTTTTACTGCCTCGGCACAGCCCCTGCTGACAGTGTTACATGCAAATGTCAGCCGTGATCATTATGACGTTAATGATTTGGAAAGGGGATGGGGCTGAATATTAAATAATTGATTTACAGGATTCAGTGTTCACTCCTTTTAATATAGCCCCCCCTGCAGTTATTTGGAGGTCTTTCTGTTTTTTTAATCCCTTTTCTTTGGGGGGGCATTTTAACAGATACAAATGTGACTTTTATCATTCAATTTTAATTTATATGTATTAATTCGGACTGTGTGCTGCACTGGATGAGGAAAATTGTTGTTTTAGTTGCTTGTTCTTCAGATATTTCCTTTGTGTTCAGTATTAGTTGCTGCTCTTTCCGTGGTAACCACATAAGTCTAACAGGAAGTTGGCCGTTTGGATAAGGCCTTCGCTAAACTTAAGCAGAATAACCCTGCCCTTCTGGTTCCTGAGCAGCCTTTAACTGCCCAAGTATGTTTAGGATAGTGTGATGGTCCAGGTTTTAAATTGATATATCCAATGGGTATATAGAATCGCGTAGATTCAGATTTCATTGCTTTGATTTGAGGTGATCCATCACTGAACACAAGGCGCTGTCGGACACCCTCAGCTTGGTCCAGCTGCCACTTTGGTTCACTAAAATCAAAGACAGTGTTGGTGTGAGGACAGCTTGTCAGTGGGTCCATCATACATCACAAGTTTTGAGAACATATCGGTACGGCATTACTACTGCCAGCTACTTCATCTACATTAAGAAATTAGAGCCCAACCACCATAAGCAGGCCACACAAGCATTCACCTTCATCTTGCACTGTCCCTGGTCTCTTTTGTAGGCTTACACGTTTGAGGCTCATCTCATCAGGTGCAGATGAGGGATGATGTTCTTACGTAACAGTCCTGCTGGATAAGAGAGTTTTTGGTTTGGCATTTGCCCATGGCGGGGTTAGGAGCTGCCTTTTTCAGTGAAGGAGGTGACATTTGTTTTTTTTAAACTTTTAGAGGTAGTTCAGCCTGGGAGGCTCAACACAAGTCCTGTCATGTGTAGCTCCAAGGTCTGGAGGTGTCCTCAGTGTTTCCAGATTCCAAGATTCCAGGTTTGTGTTCAACCTGAGGTTATCAGCATTTCAGCTTGAGTCTGATTTGAGTCCACGAGTCCTTACACCACAGTAATTTGTATAAGTGCAGGTGCATTGCTCCTGACATAAATGTAATGATCAACATAGGTGGAATTCCCCGCTTTTGTTAAATTAAATTATTGCCCTGGAAAAATGAACCCTTATGTTTTTCCACATGTATCAGTGGAAATCTAACCACAGTGAAAAGGATTGTCAGGATACACCACTACCACACAACAAGGCTTTATACACAGTCGGTGTTTCCCACAGGCTGAGAATTTACTGGTGGTAGTGGGTGGCATGGAGTGTGACAGTGCAGTAGGGGTGGGCAATGTGACCTAAAATCACTGTTTGTTTTTTATAGTGATGGTATTACATCATGGTATTACAAAAGATAAAAGGGATTCTCTGGAAGAAGGCAAAAAATGATTTGTTTATGGGCTCCAGGTAGGAATGAAAATGAGGTATAGGCTTACATGTATTATGGGAGGAGAGGCCTGTCCCATAATGTAGGTTAATTAGTATCATCATGGTTAAAACAAACTGGATCCCGACACTCATGGATAAATATCTTCTTGCCCTCGATAAACAAAATGTATTTATCTGAGTGCCGGGATCCTGTTTGTTTTGTCCCTTATTACGACACCTGATACACTGTTTATAGTTTTGGAGCTGTGTGCGCTTCTACTCGTCATCATATTTCCATTCTCAGAGTTAGACTAGGGGTAGGATCCACAGCATTTATTTGGCAGAAAACAAACATTTGTACATTTTATTTGGCAGCATTTGAAAGAACATATTTCCCTATTTCTAGTTGGTTGTTTCTCTTTTCACCATTTTAATTGTACTTGATTCTCCACCTTTGTTTTTTTTTTTTACTGTCTACTCTACTTACTGTTTACTGTCTCACTTGCTTTTTCCTTTTTCCTTCTACGCACATACACACACACTTACACCTCTGTCTTTGTCTCTTACTGCACACATCACAGCTTGCCCTGCCCCGCCTCTTTAGGTTACTGTCTCCCTGTCCAGCCTGCTTTCGTCAAAGTCGTCAAATACTGGCCCTAGGCTCAGTGCCTCACAGGCGATTATGTTTTAACAACAGCCGATCAGTCGTGTGAGTCTAAAATGGGTGAACAAATATACTTGGGCTGCTCGCCCAAGTAAAGACTATGTGTGGGGAAACACTGCACACTAATGTGTTTTCATTTTCATAACTTTTGCTACGTCTACACCTAGGGTGTACTCTGGCATTTTTTAACCTCTAAAATGGAGACTTATGAAGAAGCTGACCCACACGTTTGCTTCCTAATTGTGTCTTAACTTATTAGTCACAACGTGTGCTTCCCTGATTTCTCCAGCCTTGACTACCAGCAGTTAATTCAACATGATAACAAAGTACTGGACTTGCTGACATTTTACCTATGCTAACAGCTTGTTGTGTAGGTAAATGTTGCATTTAGGACTCTGACATCTTTTTTTCCCCCTATGACTATATTATAGGTCATATTTGGATATCATAGCCCTGATTTGTTGTCTTCAGAGTGGTTGGTTGTTACAACAGTAACACGTGGAATTAAACATTTCCTGCTGTTTGTAGAGCTAAAGGATAGTGTGACTGAGGAGCTTTGTGCAGGCCCAGACTAACCCCAAGAATGCAGTGATTGTTTTGTCTAGGGTAGTCACACTATTGTGGTGATAAATCAACACATCCTATAATGTACTATTCAGCTGCAAATTAAGAGAGCCAAGAGCAGCATGAGAGTTTCTCTGCTTGTTCTGTATTAAAAATGGGAAAGGCTTAATAGCATTTACGTGGGTGTGTCATCAATAGAAATGAGCCTGAAGATGGTTGGATCAGTGTTGAAACATCATTATGAAACTGAACGGTTGCCCTTTTGCCACCGTGGAAAGACATGGTGGTTGTTTGGGGGAAAAAGACAAGTTTCACCTAAATAGTCTAGGCTAATAAGCCAGGCAGTCATGCTTCATTTTATATCTACAACGCCTAAGTAATTCCTCTCAAGCTTCAGTAGTTGAGAAGCATAGCACGAGTGCCCAGTGAAATCTCCAAATACAGCTCTGCTTGTTCTAATCGTCATCCAAACCTCTTCCCATAGTTTGCTGATTGGTCTGGCTTCCAGCTGCTCAGCACAGTCCATTGTCAATGTTTTCCAGGCTAAAATCTTGTAGAGAAACCTGAGCTAATTAAATTTTGTCTGTTTTTTGCAAGGCAGGGAGTAATTTTAGCAGTTGTTTGCATTTTGACATTATACGTAACCTTTTAAGACATTAGTTTGCATTTTTACTATTGTATTGTGTTTCTTTCCCGGGTTGGTATTTCCCTGATGTTGCTAAGCAGCATTTCTGTGTTACTAAACATGTCTTGGAGACAGATTGCAGCCAACCAAACACCCATGCAATTGCCAGTGGCATAAAGGGATTTTTTTTTTTTTGCTCTACTTTTCTTTTCCCTTATATTTTTTTAACTTGAACACAACTTTCTCTCTTATTGCTGGAGGTTTAATTTACTGTCGCCCTCACCTGTTGCAGACAAGACGAAGCAGAATACCCAGCATGTAGAGCAGGATGCCTAATAGAGCAGTCATTAGACATTTACAGTGATGCAGACTGGCAGGGAGAGGAATTGTAAGGTACTCAACCCCGCTCTTGGATACCCAGAGGTCAGCATTGATGATGGGCAGGCGAGCACACCGACTAGCCAGTCACCATATTCATTATGTATACTGGCCAGCTGCCACATCCTTGGTCCATCTCATAGACTTATGTAACTATAAATTACAGTTCAAGGAGCTTTGTTGGATGCACATTTCCACATCTTGACCCACATTCAGTGTAGCTACAACATACCTGAGAGGAGAAATGATCATAACAGATTACCTTTCTTTCTTCCGTCCACTATATTACTGATGAACTGGCAATGGCCTGATGAGTCAGTCATTGCTCCCCCTTTTTTTTCCCTGCTTAGGAGAGAGCACTCACTCCAGCCAAGAGAGCATATGGCTCCATTAGACAACCAGTAGGGACTAGCTCTAATTGACCACTTGCAGTGGACAACAATTAGCAATCAAACACTCAACTATAATTCAATTAAGATATATATGCCAAATTCAGCTTCAGTATATTTTAATGTCAATACTTTGATTTTGAATACAGGTCTTTTACTTGAAGAAGTGGTATTGCTAGATTTACTTAAGATCGGAGTACTTTAAGCATAATTATGTTCAATTAAATGCTGCAAAAGAAAACATTTCAACTTTGTCTTAAAGGAAATTATTTCTCAGATCAGTGCAGTGGATAAGCATCAGAGCCAAATTGGCACATTTTAAATTGGATAAAAATAATACCAATAATCGGAAAAATGCGGAGTATCAGATCTGATAATCCCTAGTAATAACCAAGTTGTACAGCACGCTGGAAGTCACAAGAAGCCAAACTTATATTCTTCTGGGTGATGTCTAACAAGGCTATGTGGCATCCTAACTGAGGTCCCAATCTGTTCTGTGTGATTAACTGTGGTAGGGTTATAGTGTGCCAGCAGAATCAGGAGATTGATCAGATAACTGAGGTCCACTGCATCTGTTTATACACAAGCACACACTAGCATCAGTGTATTGTGTAGAGGACAATGTATAGAGGGGAATGACTACCTGAGGGCAGACGCACCATCATGACTAACTTGGCTAATGTACGTGGTACACACAGTTCCTTTATTTAGGAAGGCTGGTACTTTCTTCAGATACATGCCTGACAATCAGCACTGGTGCACCCAAGCTGCCCTCTGTATGTCAAAAGGATAGTTACATAAGCCTTAAAAATGATCATGTACATATAAATATTCATTATGTTACCTGTTTAAATTAAAGTGACAGTCAGTCAGACTTCCAATAACAGAAAGCAACAGCAGCAGCAGCTTGTGCTTGCACAATAAAGCTGTAGCCAAGACTCCCACTAGACAGGTAGCTGATTTAGGTGTGTGTTCACATGTAGCCTCTATTCTGACCAGATTATGTGACAAATCTATAGCTCCAAAGGTAGGGTAAACAGGCCTCGCTCCTCATGACAAAAGCTGTCCTTGTTGAGTGTTTCCACAGACTACCGTCACATCACTGTCGGGAAGAACAACTCTTCTTTCCCCATTTTTGACATACTTGAAAGGTAATTGTAAGTGATTATATAAGGTTTTCTCAGCAGTGACAAAAGGGCTGTTTCATGGCTGCTTATGACATGCTGTGTAAATGGAGAATAATTGCCTTTTTAAACATCTTTGAGTATCCATTTCTTACATTAAAAATGATTTTTCTTTTTAAAACTATGATGTATCTACCAGGATTTCTGGAGGCTGTTTATAATTGGATGTCAGTAAGTTGGTCTTGGTCTGAGTCAGCCTTTCCCGGAGTAATCAAATTCACTTTCCTAGACAAATGCACTTCTGATCCAGATAAATTTAGAGGAGGATTTAGAGAATCTTATGTAACTTGTGAAAACTGGAAAATCCTCAGTTTAAGGAAGATTAACACTCAGTCATTAACTGTTATATCTACTGTTTATCTAATTTGAACAAATCTGTCTTTTAGCCCACTCTGTGTTTGGAGACATTAAAAATAAACCGCTGTAATGACTGACGCGTTTTTACAGACGCGTCGGGCTGTTAGGCCACATCCCTACAGGAAGAACTTCCTGCTTGTGTTGTGATCCTTGTCCTGTCGGAAACATGCCGTACAAGCGTTTCTAGCTTGCTCACTCTCTCTCTTTTATATACACACACACACACACACACACACACACACACACACACACACACACACACACACACACACACACACACACACACACACACACACAATGGAAAACCACCTCTAAAACATATCCCACATCCTGTGCTGTGATTTTATCATGTTGGTGATTCAGGCTGGGAAACTGTTACCATGTGCTGTGTCAAAAAATTAAAAAAAGATTTGAGGAGCTTAAAAAAAAAAAAACACTAAAGCGCTTTTTGTCTTTCTTTGGGTTGTAGGTTCGTTTGGACCTTTTAGCTCTGGTCGTTTATCTAAAACTGGCCAGCTTTCCATTATCTTTGGAAGTGGTGTGTTGTTGTAAGCACAGCACTTGGACTTGTAGCTTTTGAATGGGCTTGTTTTCCAAAGCTTTCTTGTGTGCCAGCAGATTCTTGTCTTGGTGAAGATTTTAGCTGAACCCGCTACAAAGTCTGTTTTTGTTTGGATTGGGTATGTCCTATTTTCCTTTGGAAGTGGCTCTTTCTAAGTGTGCCACATATAAAGCGTGTTGGTTTTTCAGACGTTTAATGTTTGGCACAACTGAGGATGAAGAGAAACAACTAGGCAGGGAAAAGAGTTTGAATTCCTATGAAATAACATCAAACGTGTTTGTTGTTTATTCGTAATCGGAAAATTTTAAACCCCTTTTTTATTATTACAAAGTTTTAGCTATTTTTGAAGTGTAGTAATGAGTAAATTTGTACTAGGGTTGCATAATTAATCGAAATATTCTCCATATCGCAGAACCGGCATTTGTTTGATAAAGGTAACAATGTGTGACAAAACAGCATTATAATAATGTAAAGATGCCATGGTCTACAAATCCTGTTCTCCAGATGTAAGAACACATGTTTGTTTGATACAGTGAGCGTTGTTAGAGGAACTGGCTTGTTTCTGGCTTTAAATATCCTCATCCCCTTTTCTTACCCAACAGAGGCATTAAAGGTAGTGAAACTAAATGTAGAAAGATCCATGTTGGAATCGCAGAGCTCTCCTTAAAGAATGAAACAAGGCCATCATGCTCCACTGTAGCATCATCACCCTCCTTCCACAATGGGATGTTAAATTCATATTTGCAAGCTACCACATGCGTTGGAAGGACTCATCTTCGTGATCCTCAGCAACTCGATGCCCTTGAAAATCCAGGGAGACCCTTGGAGTAGAGAGTAGTAATGGTTTGTCAGAAAACACACATCTGCCAAAGGGGTTGTGTCGTGGAGAAATAAAAGGCTCAAGTAGTCTATATATGTGTTGGTTCACCTATCTTACTCTACTGTTACTGTGGTTTCACTTTCATCTCAACACCGTATGTCTTTAAAATCATTTGCTGTTATGTTAAATCTTCCTCTCTCCTCTTTGCACAGATATGAGACGAGTTGTACGGCAGAGCAAATTCCGTCACGTCTTTGGCCAGGCGGTGAAGAATGACCAATGCTACGATGATATCCGGGTGTCAAGGGTCACATGGGACAGCGCCTTCTGTGCAGTCAACCCCAAGTTTGTTGCCATAATTATTGAGGCCAGTGGCGGTGGAGCTTTCCTCGTTCTCCCTCTTCATAAGGTATGTTTATGGTGTAATTTATGCCACAGTAGATATGCACTGTTATTGTTCATTTGGACGGTGCACCAAAGTCAGAGCTGGCCTTTATGGCAGCTATATGAAGGTGAACTGGGTGTGTAAGCGTGTTTGCATTTACTGCTTCTTTATGCTACAGCAGTAGTAGACGCCGAGTGTCTAACAACAATGCTCTGGTCAGTTTTGGGTAGTTTTTATTACTTACTACTTTGTTTACTTTGGTGCACATATTTTTAACAGCTGCAGCTCTGCAACATCAGAGAAAGCAGATTGTTTTGTTTATGCCCTTTCTGCTTTCAATGATAAGTAACAGGGAAAACGGCACATTTAACCCCACTACTGGCTCTTCTCCGTATGGTGTCTGTTCTATTCAAAGTTAAGGATTGTGGGCTGAACATGTTTAATTAATAAGTATTTGTTTGAGATTACATTTTACAGACAGTCTGCATATCAGCTACCAGGCCTTGATTGATCAGCGGTGTCCATCTTAATGATCTTGGTTATGTTTACCCAAGGCCGATCTTTAAATGTTTTCATAGAAACCGGTTTGAAGGTAATATATTTTGTCCTTATTCTGAGGGATTTTCAAAGGATGCATTGAAATGGTGTAATGCTAACCTTTAAAGGCGTTGTGTGTCTTCTTTGAGTGCGGTTATGCATGTGATGCTTTTGTTACAGATGATTTAAGTGGATCAAATTACGTCTGGATATTTTTAGATGGGGCTGGGGAGAAATCTTGATATTGTCTTCATGTCGGTGACGACATAAAAGGGAAGGAAAAGCCATCCTCTCTGTGGGATCAAATATGGACCGACATAAAACACTTGAAAAAATAGAGAGAGTTGAACTAAAAATCTTGGTTCCACTTTTTATTTTTTGAGACTAAACGCCTATTTCCCACTTTTTGTGTTGAGTAAATAACTATTTGCATAGAAGACTTTACCTCTTACAGGCTGGACTGCTGACTCTTCACGTCGGTGTACATTGGGATTAATGTTTACCAACGGGCTGTTTCACAAACCCTCATGTGTACAACAGAAACTACTCTAAAGCCCTGGAGTGAACAGTCTCCTGATCCTTGCCTCCATATAAGGAATCACTCCACTCCAACTAGAATTACTTCTGGGTTGGGCGAGACAGCATTTGAAGAGTGTTTAGCTATAAACAAGCTAGCTGGGTGAATACATCCCTCCCTTTTGTTTTAACCCTGCTGTCATAATTGGGCTAATTAAGGCAAAATAGAGATTGTACTGTATCCAACAGAGGCCTCTGGCATGTCCCTAAGAGAGCCCTTGGGTGCCATTACAGTTGATGGTGGTAAATTGCTGGCTGCTGGTGTTTCTCTTTGGCATCTCCAAGCAATGGCCAAGTGGCAGGTCCTGACACTGTGAGTGACATAAGTACTGCAATACTGTTGACAGATCCAACCTGGGCCTGTAATTAGTGTACACAAGTACACTGCCATGTCATCTGAGAAGGCTCTGGCATAGGGGACCGGATCCTTAGGCCTGTCATCACACAGCTTACACCTCTCAGCACCTCATTCAATACAGAGCTTGTACTGGAGGTGGGCTGCAAGCTCGACCGGTTTCACACTCGTCCTGCCCTCCTCTCTGTGTCCCTGTTTGAATGAGCTGCGCTCTGCGTGCCGTGTCCCAGTACAGTAATGGTGTGTCTACTGAACAAAGTCTACTTTCACTACTGAACTCAAATTTGTAAGAGACTGAGATCTTTCTGTGCAGAGAAAACCTCAGGCAATTTCCTCAAGTGAGAGATTTAAAAAAAAAAAAAAGCTCTCTTGATTTTTTTTTTAGATCTTCCCACATACAAGCTGGCAGGCGTGACACAGGCTAATCCTTCAGATATTGGTGTTTTCCTCATTGCAACAGGGCATGCATTGAGACACTGGAGCTTGAAGGGGAATACCATATTTTTAAAGCATTATTTATGTTGTGTATGTATGTTATACTTTGGACAGTGGGACCAGTATGTATTGCCACCAAACCAGTCTTACAGCTCAACATATGAATTAACTGACTGTCTTCAGTTAACTGGACATAAGAACAACATTAATTTCAGATCCTAAATTAATAGGCATTCCCTTTTAATCTGTTTGTTTTTTTTTTTCTTTATAATATCTATTTTTCGTTTTTATCACCATGGTATTCTCCAATGATTTTTTTTTTTTCTTTTTCTAACAAAGCAGGTCCATCTGGAAATCTCAGTATAGCCTCAGCTGGCAATGCAGGTCTCAAAAGTGGGGCGAGTCTGTTCTTGCAAATGGTATTACTAGGCTGCACTGCAGTGGATCAGTAATACACAGTTGGTCTCAGCACCTGAGATAATTTCCAATGAACTGAATTTAAAAGGATCATAGATCATTTTGCAAATGGTTAAACTAATTGAATCAGTATGCTTTCCTGTTTGTTATTGGGCCGTCTGTACAAAGTGTCTGCTTTACTTTATGAGCGTTTGTCAGACGCCGCTCTGCTGTGTGGATACATATCTGTGCCTGATTCAAGGACACTTGGACAGTTTCAATCACCTGGGTCTCGTTTCATTTTTGTTTCAAGGCCGCACATCCCCTAAACACCCCCACCCTCCCGTCCCCTCCCGTCCCTAATGTGAGGGTGCATCTGTCCGGCTAACCCATCTGCCTTTGCTGTGTTGCTCCCAGTCTCTGTGGGCAGCCAGCTGCTCAGGGTCTTTGTCCTACGCTTACTCCCAACGCAGCCCTTTGTCATAACCACACTTCGACTGGGGGGAGCCAGAAGTGTGATGATGCTCCTTCCCCCTTCACAATTAAGCCATATGCAACTGTGCACCCTCTTTGTTATAACGATAGGAGAATAAATTATTGAAATTATGAGCTCTCAAAAAAGCATTGTACTCCCTCTGCTTACATTCTAAAAAATGTACTCTTTGACATAATGTGATGCATCTGGAAATGAATAGAAAATCATCTCTTGGAGTTCAGAGGTTGATGTTGTGGATCTGTGACCTGACCTGAGGTCTGAGCCTCATTTTGAGTAGTCAACCAATGGAGCCAGTCTCTTTGTGTGACACTGTAGGGTGAGGTTAGTGCGGCCGGCCGCCGTGACTCAGCACAGCCATGAGTATTGTTGCTTCCTCCTGTCAGAACACAGGGATTTTTATAGAGAGGGCATCAGATGTCCAGCTCAACACGTCATTCCCTTGCCTCATGCTTTCAATCTCCCCCTTTCTCTTTCTTAGCAGGATGCCTGCTAATTTATTCCCTGATTTCCATATGAAGGAAGCTGTGGGAGTGAATGCAGCAGCTAGCAAGCGTTCAGTGAAACATTCCTGATAATTCCTCTCTGTCTGCTCAGCATAAGAGGAGGGAAGGCTCAGTAAATCATTACAGTTGTGATTTATATGCCTTAACTAGAAATCCCTTATTTGATTTATCCAAACATGCCATTGTTAAAAAAAAATCCACACTGTCTAGTATCTTTATTTTCCATGCAGACTGTGTTAGTCACTTTGTCAATCCCTAGCATCTTTGGTTTCCTCTTTTGTCTGTGTCTTTTAAGATTGACCTAAACTACAGCCGTAACACCACATAGTGCATTGCTTAATGTCGAAGGCATGTTGCACGTTAGTGCTTCAAACGCTGCCTCTGCACAGAAAGGATGATCAGATGTGGTGTGTATGTGTTTGATTTGGATTCAATCCCTGAATGCACCATTCATCCAGTGCTCAACCTTTTGCTGTAGAAATCCCTGGGTGTGTGCACAGTGACACATTATTTCTGTTCTGTCTCACATACACCAGTTTGGCTGCTAACTAAGCAACGCTCTGTCTCCACACACAGAAATACACTGGGTGTGCATAATATCCATGGTCTTTCCCCATACTTTGGTCAGTCTGTGTTCCAAGACCTCTATACTGCTCAGTTGCCTCTGCCTTTGCCGCTTCTGCCGCTCAGTCCTGCTGACTGCAGATTTTACCATATATGGTCATTCACTGCTCCCTGCCTGACAGCCTTCCAAGACCATTTCCTCCCTGGCCTGCCATTGGCTGCTTCATGCAGTGTCGGTACACATGTGAATTCTGGGATAGGCCGAAATATGAAGAGCGGCCAAGATGAGAGAACTGGGTTGAAGTCAGATGTTGTCTCTGTCATAGAGTCACTCACTGTATCCAAGTGCCATATTAGAATAATTATTTTAATGTGATAATCAGTGTGACTGCTGGATTACTGAATAATTTATTAGAAAGAGCTGTGAGCCCTGATAGCTTTTGTTAAATAAACCAGACTTGTTTTTAGCTGCAAACCTTAAAGCAAAGCTGTGGTTCTTTTTAATAAGAGATGGTGTTTTTAGTCATTTGAGCTATTAATTCACAAACTACCACTGTACATGAATGCACCAATCTGGTGGATAAAATCACTAAATCTCTTTGGCTTTGCTTCCTTTCTTTAATCCAAGTTCTTTCTAAAAATATCTCTTCATTCATATGTTGTCTGTTTCCTGCAGTTAATCATTTTTTTGGGCCGCAGGTGCCAGACCGTATCACAGCATGTGCTGGAGAGACAGTAGGAAGATGTGGAGACACTGTGGGCAAATGACCACTCTTCACAGGAAATATGATCTCTACTCAGAGCGGCCTCATCAAAGAGATGACAGAACTTAATGACCCCTCTGATATTCATTAGGTGTCTTAAAAGTGCTGGCGTGGACCTAATCACTGCAACAATAGACATACTGGAACCCTGATCTCCCTTTCATCAGCCAACTAATCGTGCCTTTTAGAATATGTCTTAGATGCTATCTGGAATTAATCTTATGACCTAGATTTTCCAGAAACATACAGCACTACAATATATCTATAGTACATCTCTTTTATAGGTTTTTCTATTTTATCTCTTTAGCTATGTATAACTCTGTTTTCCAGTCAGTCTGCAGTATGCTGCACTGTATTGTTCCTGCCCTATCATACAGACACAGAGACTTGTAAAAGTG